GGGGGGGGGGGGGTTACGTTTTGGGCATCTTGTCTTGAATGGCGGACGTGAACGCGTCGCTCCATACATGTCTGTTGTTATTTTGTGTTATTTAATGCAGGAAGTCATTTTTGCATTTCTTTATATCGTATTCGTGTTTTGTATGCCGCATTTTATATTTTTTGTGTGTGTTTCAATCTTTGTTTTTGAAATTTACTTGGTTTATGTAATTGTTTACGTTTTTGGTGTGATGTTTGCTTAGTTTATGTTTATTGATGTTGATTACTTGGTCTTGTCCCTGAAGTAACATTCATATAAGTTTTGATCATTTTATTTTAATATGTGGAAATTACTGATTCGTTTGATATATGTACTGACTTGTTGTTTGTAACTAACAATTTTCTCCGTGAATGAAGCAGTCAAAATTGAGTTACGTCACCTAATTCCGTGATTGTCTTCGACATTCAACTGTAGGTTCGAAGCCCCGAAACCAGGGGCGGGTTATCTATCTTGCAAGAGCGGGATTACGCTAATCAAAGCTTTTCAGTTTAGAAGCTATGTGCGATAAATGAGTTACGATTCGTAATTTCCACATATATTGTTTTAGTTAAAGTTGCCTACAAGGCCATGTAATTTTCCATCTTGCTTTTAACAAAAGGACTTTATTGCACCAAAGATGAGTCACATCCTGTGTATTTCACCCTTTCTTAGAATCTTGGTACCTGCTTACCTGACCCATAATTCCCAAAACTTGTTTTTAACCTGTATGTTACCTCTTGAAGTTTACCTGCTACTTTTTGTGATGTTATAATTCTATGTTACGCGTTCACATCATTACAAACAATGAAATTAACTACACAATTTAATATTAATTTGACGGCTGGTTTTTTTATTGGCAAGTTCCTTTTTTTCCAGCCTATTTCTATTTTTATTCGGTGAACTACCATTTTCAAAGATTATTTGTGCAATGTAATCTATTTGCAATCATTATTAAACAAACTTTTAACAATTTGAGTGTTTTATTATACGTTCCTTCTCTATTGTGCTTCAGGTCAAAGCGTTGTCTACAACTAACGTAAGGAGATCCACTTGCAGATGTGTTCCACACTGACTCCCTGTACTGCGCAAACGCAAGCGCGCTAAAATTTGATTTTGCTTTTGTAGTAAAGTAGGTAGGTTACTGGCGCCCTCTAGTAGTAAGGAAGATGTAATGTTTGAGGTATTAGTTGCTGTATTTTTGCATATTATTACAGTTATTAAATATTGTTTATTGATGCATACTTATTATTGCTATTTATGGATTATCACCAGCAAGGAGCTACTATATTACAAATTGGCGACGAGGATGGGATGCTTATTCAAAGTGGCCTGAAGTCTACCAAATGAACAAAATTGATACACATAACACTCTTTGTAGGTTAGTAAAAAATTATTCAGATTTGTTCGATGGTAAATTAGGCAGGTTTGTGGGTCGTAAAATTAAGTTGTCACTTATAATTGCACAAGAGGTTTGTATTTTACCGAGTAAATTTGGGTTGTTTAGGTCATGAAAATCTGTTGCCTAGCAATTAGACGAGAAAAAGTGTCAACTAATAAAAACGCGACACCGCAGGTGGAGCATTTTTAGGTTGACAGTTTTTCGAGTCCAATTGCTAAAAGGAAACAGATTTGAATTGCCACAACCCAAATTTACTCTGTTTAAATACAAACCTCGAGTGTAATTCGGCAGGGCAATTTAACGAACAAGAAATTCACCGACTAATCAATTATTGACAGACGTCAAACTAGTCATATGGGAAAGGATAATGCGATAATTGGTTCGAAAATGAATAAGTGAAAAAACCACTAGTGCATTTGTCGCTGGAAAAGTTGCAGGTAACTTTTGCCGCTGTCAAAGTGACAATTTCACTGCGGCTTATGCGATTTTTTATACATGAGTTGAATTGTCAGTGAAACCAGATACGACACCTATTTTTAAAAAGCCGCATACTATTCCATTTGCTTTCAAGTCAAAAGTCGAAAATGAGTTACAATTACTTGAAAAGCAAGGTGTTATTGAAAAAGTAGGTATAATAGTGAATGGGGTACACCTTTAGTGCCTGTTTTAAAGCCAGATGGTGATATTCGCGTTTGCGCTAACTACAAATTAACTGTAAACAAATAATTATCCTATTCCTAAAATAGAGGAATTATTTGCTGCTCTTGAAGGTGGGGAGGAGTATACAATTTTGGATTTAGAAAGAGGGTATAATCAGTTTGAGGTTGATGATGATACTAAAATGCTTTTAGCGTGGAGCACGCATAAGGGTGTGTATAAAGTCAATAGGTTACCTTTTGGGACAAAGCCAGCATGCTCAATATTTCAACAGGCAATAGAGGAAGTTATTAATGACATACCTCAGTGGAAAAATTATTTTGATGATATAATTGTAACGGGAAAAAATAAAAAAGAACACATAGAAAATTTAGAGCTTGTTTTTAAGAGAGCTAAAGAATTTGGGTTAAAATTTAAGTTAAAAAAATGCAAATTTTTACAACCTCAGGTTGAGTACCTTGGCCATGTAATAGATAAGTTCGGATTGCATAAAAGTCCAGCAAAAGTGGAGGTAATTGTAAATGCACCTACTCCAAGAAATATAACCGAAGTTCAGGCTTTGGTTGGAATGGTTAATTATTATAGTAAATTTATGCCCTATTTAGCAACCGTTTTAAGTCCTATATATGATCTGTTAAAGAAGGGTACTGTGGTGAAATGGACGAAGGAATGTGAATTAGCTTGGCAAGAAGTAAAAAAAGAAATTATTTCTGATAGAAACTTGGTACATTTTAATCCGGAACTACCATTAAAGTTGTCATGCGATGCATCGCAGGTAGGGTTAGGAGCTGAGCTGTGCTTTTGCATGTTTTCCCGAACGGCGAAGAAAAACCTATTTGCTTTGCATCAAGAACGTTAACAGTAGCAGAAAGAAGTTATTCAGTCATTCACAAAGAGGCCCTAGCTATTTTTTGGGGAGTAGGCAAATTCTTTCAATATTTAAAGGGAGTTAAATTTATATTGCAAACTGATCATAAGCCGTTATTGGCAATTTTTGGGGAAAATAAAGGGATCCCTCAAATGGCCGCGGGAAGAATGCAAAGGTGGGCTTATTTTCTCAGTGGGTTTGATTATGTTATAGAATACATAAAAGGTGAATGTAATGGTGCAGCTGATGGGTTGTCACGGCTCCCACTCAAAGTTAATTCAGTGTGCGAAATTGAATATGACTATTTTAATTTCTTGGTTGAAGATAAGCTTCCAATAGATTCTAAACAATTAAGTAAAGAAATTCGAACAGATCCTATATATTAAGTAGGGTGTACGCTTATGTAAGAAGTGGTTGGCTAAATAAGGTAGACAAAGATTTGCAACCCTATTTTGTTAGATCTAAGGAATTAAGTATCGATCAGAATTTGCTTTTGTGGGGTTATAGGGTGATTATACCAGTAAAGTTTAGAAGTGAAATGTTGAAAGAAATACATGTTACTCATTTGGGATCGAGTAAGATGAAATCGTTGGCTAGGCAATACTTTTGGTGGCCAAACCTAGATGTAGAAATTGAACAAACTGTGATGTGTGTAATAAAGTGGCTAGTAGTCCGAACAAGGCTACTCTAAGAAAGTATGATCAATGCAAAGAGGTTCTGGAAAGAGTCCATTTAGACTTCCTAGGCCCAATTAATGGTAGGGTTTATTTAATAATTTTGGATGCTTATTCAAAGCGGCCTGAAGTCTACCAAATGAACAAAATTGATACACATAACACTCTTTGTAGGTTAAGAGATTTTTGTGCAAGATTTGGCTTGCCTAAGAAAATAATATCTGATAATGGACCTCAACTTGTCTCTGCTGAGTTTGAAAAATTCTGTGAAATGAACAAAATTAAACACATTACTACCGCACCATACCACCCCTCATCAAATGGAGCTGCGGAAAATTCAGTAAAATCATTTAAAATGGGTTTAAAGAAAGCTATGTTAGACCTTTCTAACAGGGACATTCAAATTTAAACTTTGGTTTCCAGATATTTATTTAGTTATCGAGTCACTCCTCATTGTACGACAGGTGAAACTCCCGCAAAGTTAATGCTAAAAAGAGAGTTAAGAACTAGATTNTTAAGGGGGGATTAACACCAAAATGTGAGGTTAATATAAATTCAAATTTCAAATGTACAAATTTCAAAATATTTTTACTTTTTTCGTAAAAGATAATTCGTAACACCTTCATCTGAGACAACTACGTGATGAGATACATATTTCGCATTAATACAAAAGAAAAAAAAATATTACGTAATCTTTAAAAGTACACCACTAAATAAATATCAAATAGTGTAGCAAACTATTAGTGTCTTGTCACAAGTAGTACCCTGAAGAATGATGTAGTATTTTGGTTTCGGATGAAACTTACTTATTTTTCAAGTTTTGTACATTTTTTAAGCCCGTTTGTAACGATCATTTATTTAGTCAATTTTTAAGTAATTTTTTTAGGAACAAAAAAATTGAACATTTCATACATCAACTTTGATCAATTTTTTGGTACTTATTTTAGGAACTGAAAGTTGTCCTATTTTTGTAATGTTTAGAACCTGTCCTATTTTTCCCTCAATTTTTTAGTTACTTTTTACAGATTATAGGGAATTTGTAAATTTAAATGTTTTTTCTAACCTTAAATTATTGTCGGTATTAGTTCTTCGTCAGCGGCAGCAAGTGTTTAATAAAATAAAATTATAATCATTTTTATTAGTTTATGTTAAAAGGTGAAAATGTCTTGGAGCCAAGAACAAGTCTTACAACTTATCGACCTGTATAAAGCTAGACCCTGTTTGTACGCCGTCAAAACAACCGAATATAAGAACAAGCACATGAAATTAACAGCTTATCAGGAGATAGAACAAGGTCTACAGAGTCTTCGCCCAAAAACAACAACAGGGGAAATTAAATCTAAAATAAATGGTTTGCGAACAAACTTTCTAACGGAACATCGTAAATATAAATCGTCATTAAATAGTGGTGCTGGTGCAGAAGAGGTATGTTGACGTTATTTTAGAGGGATCTAATTAATATTGCTAGAATTAATTTATATAGGTTTATTATCCGACGTTATGGTATTATGAACACATGTTGTTCATTATAGACCACACAAATCCACGACCAGCAGTTGATTCAATAGCCACCCAACAAACTGCAGAGGACAACAGCCAGGTATATTATGTAAGTTAAAATATTTGACTTATGGGATAATTAATATATTACTCTAACCACAGGACGAAGAAAGTGACACATTCTTTCAAGACGACGATCAGTTTCAAATTGAGTATGTAGATGAAGGTGTGTCTGACACTCCTGTATCTGGTTCGTCTACACCAATTTTGTCAACACATTCAGTAAGCCAACAACCGCACAATGTAAACAACAAAAGGAAAAGAAAAATGGATGATGCATCATTAATAACAACTGCGAATGACACAATGGGAAAATTAGCCGTGGCAATTGGGGATATTGCAACACAACGCACACACAACAAACCATTAGAACGAGACCATTTGAACATTTTTGGAGATTTTGTAGTTAGCCGGCTGAGAATGTTAGTAGATAGGAATGTTTTGAATGATACGCAAGAACAAATTGTGCAACTTCTATTCAATGCAACTAGAGACTAGGACTCAATTAAGAAATATCTCATTTATAATGATAATGACTAATAAAAATAAATTCCACAACAATGTTTATTACAACCTCCATTTGAAATCAAGATCAGTTACATGTTATAGTTATTCACAGCTCTTTCTTGCCACTCAACGCTTCCAATATTTGAACAAAAGTACTGTTTAAATTCTTCCCGAATGTCCCTTGCATTCTGAGTCGATTTATTACCACCTTGTCTACTGATTTTATTTATGTCTTCTTTAGTACAATCATTTTCATTCAAGTCGGTGTATAAATTTCCATTTTCTGTAGCCAGATAATTATGTAGGGCCACACATGCAAGAGTAATTGTTTCAACTTTGGTGACTCGAAGATGTATAGGATTAAGCAAAACTCTAAATCTATTAGCTAAGATGCCAAAGGCATTTTCAATAATCCTCCGAGCTCTAGACAACCGGTAATTGAATATTCGTTCGTCATGAGATAAACCCCTAAATGGATATAGTTTCATAATTGCATCTTTGAGTGGGAACGCGTCGTCTGCAACAATTACATATGGTACTGGTCGTATTCTTCCTGGTAATGCTGTTGCAGGTGGAAAATTGAGACGGTTTGTGGACATTGCTGTTGCTAATGCAGAATCTTTGAACACTCCTCCATCGCTTACACGGCCATTACAACCAACATTAATGTATGAAAATTTATACCGAGCATCGGCTAAGGCTAATAGTACGATGCTGTGGTCCCCTTTATAATTGAAGAAATATGACCCATCGGACCTAGGAGGAGTAAATTTAATATGACGGCCATCTAGAGCACCTAAGCAATTTGGAAATTGCCATAGGTTATCAAACTCTTCTGCAATCGTCAACCATTCTCCCACGGTATCTGGTGTCTTAACATACTTTATGTGAAGATGTTTATATATTGCTTGAGCTACTTCAGGTATAAATCTAGATATGCTACTTTCATGCACTCGTGTAGAATACATTAAGGATCTATATGACTCCCCTGTTGCTAAGAATCGTAAAGTTATTTCCAGCCTGTCAACAAAAGTAAATGATGGGCAAGTACTAATCGAACATGAATATATATTACTAGGTACCTGGTCTTTGCAGAAATTGTTTCTTGCATGAATGTATCTGTCTTTTCAATGTCTTTTTTCAACATACTTAATAAATTATTAAATTGTTCTTTATTCATCCTCAAGTAAATCTTCTACAGCGAGTTCATCGTTTAACATTTGTAAAACTCCTGGTCCAAGAACTGTTCTGCGACTTAACCATTTCCGCACAGGTTTCCTTTTCATAACTTTTTTCGTTACTTTTTTATAGATTACTGCGGTTGTAACAACAGTAACCGCAGCAGCAAGGTTTAAAATTAACAAAAGATGATCATCTAATAAATTTATATTTATATTCATTTTTCAGTAGACAGACCTTAATTTAGAGAAGATAAATATTTAACTCTCCAGATTTAATATAACATATAGGTTATGTACAAATGTTTACATTTTACAGGTACTAAAAAATTGACAATATTATGGAATGTTACATACAGTTTCATCATTTATGACATTTTTAGGATAGCATTATCTTAATTGAAAGAAAAAATGACTAAAAATTTGACTAAATAAGTGATCGTTACAAACGGCTTAAAGGAAATCATTGTATAATCTATGTTAGACTGGATGGTATTTGGAAAAAGACATGGCGAATGTAATGGAGACGCTGAATGCGACCAAATTTTTTATGGTTTTCTTGTTTCTGTTATGTTGGTACTGATCAAAAACCGGTTGATTTTTGGTTATAAAATGGCGTATTATATGTGTTTGTGAATTAAAACGTAATAAAACGTTTTTAACTTCTGTGTAAAGTGTTTACTAAATTAGGTGATAATGAAGGTAGTTTATTAGCATTAATCGTTTATAAAGAACTTATCACTTTTTTTAAAACAAGACGAGCTAAATAATACAAAAGTAACCATGTCGATGCCCCCATACCTATTGGGGCCCAACCCCTGGGCCACAATGATGGCACAGCAGCAACTGGCGGCTGCGGCCCATGCCCAAGCGCAAGTTGCTGCGGCCCAGGCACATGCCCACGCATTACAGCAACAGATTCCACCGCCCCATCCGAAATCGGACATTATGACAGAAGACAAACTGCAGGAGAAGGGTACGTGTAGGTAAAACGTCGACCAGTGCTTATTTGTACTGCTATTACAGCGCAAAAATGGCAGCAGTTGCAATCGAAACGTTTCGCCGACAAGCGCAAGTTAGGCTTTGTCGACGCACAGAAAGAAGATATGCCCCCGGAGCATATACGTAAGATCATTCGGGATCACGGTGATATGAGTAGTCGAAAGTATCGTCACGATAAACGGGTTTATTTGGGGTATGTGCCGTTGTCTCTGTCTTAATTTTTGCTAACGCTGAAATTGTAGCGCGTTGAAGTATATGCCGCACGCCGTTATGAAGCTGCTCGAGAATATGCCGATGCCCTGGGAGCAAATTCGTGACGTACAGGTACTCTATCACATTACCGGTGCCATTACCTTCGTTAACGAAATTCCATGGATCATCGAACCCGTATACATCGCACAATGGGGGTAAGCTTGTTGGGGATGGCTCGCGACAAATTTCACCACCCTGTTTTAGCACAATGTGGATTATGATGCGAAGAGAAAAACGTGATCGACGCCATTTCAAACGTATGCGTTTTCCTCCCTTCGATGACGAAGAACCGCCCCTAGACTATGCCGATAACGTGCTGGATGTAGAACCGCTCGAAGCGATACAGATCGATTTGGATACTGAGGAAGATGCTCCCGTTATCAAGTGGTTTTACGACCACAAACCCCTAGTCGGCACTAAGTACGTCGACTCGGAACAGTTTACCTTATTAATTGTTCCTGTGTTTTAGGCACGTTAATGGACCAACTTACCGCAAGTGGAATTTACAGCTGCCAATGATGGCAACATTGTATCGACTGGCCAATCAGCTTTTGACCGATTTAGTCGATCAAAATTTCTTTTACTTATTCGATACAAAAAGTTTTTTCACCGCGAAAGCGTTAAATATGGCCATTCCGGGTGGACCGAAGTTCGAACCGTTGATTAAAGATAGCAATCCAGCGTAAGTCGTGATGCTTTTGTTTTTGGTGGTTATGGCTTGCCATTGGAATTTTTTTTTTTATTCTTAAAATTTAAATTGAATAATTCAAAAATCTCAAAAATTTGATTTCACTGATCTTGGTTAAATATGATAAAAAAAATGGTTTTTGAAATTCTGTTATGGTGTGGTGGTCGGACTTTTACGTTTTATTACTAAATATTGTTTACTGTGTCCCATCCCCCTTGAAAAACCCCCCCTTTTCGGGAACTGTCTTAGAGAATTTCTCTAAAAGAACATTTTTAAGGTGTCTGTAAGTGTCCCTTTTGCTGTTCGGATGGCAGAAACTTTTAATAAGAAGAGAACCTTATTCCGCACGCAGGCGGCCGTCAAGTAAAAATAAGAAATCAAAAAAGGTCTCGCTGTGCACTACAATTGCCTGCATTTTCAACTCGAAACTTTTTTCGAAATGGAACACTTGTTCAACTTGTGACAGCAGTTTGGTTAACCTGCTTTTGCACAAAATGGCGAACTGCGTCTTAAACTAAACAAATAGGGCTTACTGCCCGAAAATTTAGCGTAACAAATGTACACGCTAAGAAACCAAAAAAGGCCTCGCTGTGCACTACAACTGTCTGCATTTTTAACTCGAACCTTTTTTTCGAAATGGAACACAACTTCTGACACCACTTTGGTTAACCTGCTTCTGCACAAAATTACGAACTGCGTCTTCAACTTAAACAAATGGGGCTGACTGCCCGAAAATTTAGCGTAAAAAATGTACATACTAAGAAATCAAAAAAGGCCTCGCTGTGCACTACAACTGTCTGCATTTTTAACTCGAACCTTTTTTTCGAAATGGAACACAACTTCTGACACCACTTTGGTTAACCTGCTTCTGCACAAAATTACGAACTGCGTCTTCAACTTAAACAAATAAGGCTGACTGCCCTAAAATTTAGCGTAAAAAATGTACATGCTCAAGAAATCAAAAAAGGCCTCGCTGTGCACTACAATTGTCTGCATCTTCAACTCGTAACTTTTTTCGAAATGGAACACTTGTTCAACTTCTGACACCACTTTGGTTAACCTGCTTCTGCACAAAATTGCGAACTGCGTCTTAAACTAAACAAATAGGGCTGACTGCCCGAAAATTTAGCGTAAAAAATGTACACGCTAAGAAATCAAAAAAGGCCTCGCTGTGCACTACAATTGCCTGCATTTTCAATCCGAAACTTTTTTCGAAATGGAACACTTGTTCAACTTCTGACACCACTTTGGTTAACCTGCTTCTGCACAAAATGACGAACTGCGTCTTCAACTAAAGAAATAGGGCTGACTGCCCGAAAATTTAGCATTAAAAATGTACATGCTCTTCAAACGTGTTCATTAGATTGCTCACTTATTCTGTGATGAGTCGCGCAGGGGTCCGGAAGTCAGTCAACATGTAGACTGACAATCTCCCTTTGGATTTGTGTAGACAAAACAATTGGAGGTTGGATAATGCGCTTTCTGATAGCATATTTTAGCAATAAACAACGCCTTGATATTCGGGAAGTGTTGCTGATATTACTTTATATTTGCAGAGACGAGGATTGGAACGAGTTTAACGACATAAACAAAATCATTATCCGGCAACCTGTCCGTACCGAGTATCGCATTGCGTTTCCGTACCTGTATAACAATTTACCACACTTTGTGCACCTGTCGTGGTAAGTAAAGTTAACCGGTCACGCCATTGAGACTTGTTGTTCGATTCATATAGCAAGTTACTAGCGGCGTGACAGATTATATTGTGTGGGTTATTCAGTTTGACATTAAAGTTGAATGGAAAATTGCTGATTGTCACCGACAGTTAATCTTTGACTTTTTTTCTGAGCGTGTAACAAGTCACCTTGCAGGTATCACACGTCCAACGTTGTTTACATTAAAACTGAAGACCCAGATTTGCCCGCGTTCTACTTTGATCCGCTAATCAATCCCATTTCCCATCGTCACGCGGTCAAAAGTCTCGAACCGCTGCCGGAAGATGACGAAGAGTACATTCTTCCGGAAATCGTCCAACCGTTTCTACAGGAGACACCTTTATACACTGACAATACGGCCAATGGCATCGCGCTCCTTTGGGCACCTCGCCCGTTTAACTTGCGCTCTGGGCGATCTCGGCGAGCGATCGACGTTCCGTTGGTCAAGACCTGGTATCAGGAACACTGTCCTCCCGGCCAACCCGTCAAGGTCAGAGTCAGCTATCAAAAGCTTCTCAAATATTTCGTCTTGAACGCGCTTAAACACCGACCACCGAAGGCGCAAAAGAAGCGCTACTTATTCCGTTCGTTCAAATCGACTAAGTTTTTCCAAACGACTACGCTCGATTGGGTCGAGGCCGGCTTACAAGTCTGCCGCCAGGGGTACAACATGCTTAACCTGTTAATTCACCGAAAAAACCTCAATTACTTGCATTTAGATTACAATTTTAACTTGAAGCCAGTCAAGACGCTCACAACTAAAGAACGTAAGAAGTCCAGATTCGGAAATGGTAAACGTTCATTTTAGCTCGCACTTTCCGAATGTTAGTGTCTCTCATTCCAGCCTTCCATCTGTGTCGTGAGATTCTTCGCCTTACGAAGTTGATAATCGACTCGCACGTCCAGTACCGACTGAACAACGTCGACGCCTTCCAGCTTGCCGATGGCCTGCAGTACATCTTCGCGCACGTCGGGCAACTTACCGGCATGTATCGTTACAAGTATAAGCTGATGAGGCAAATTCGAATGTGCAAAGATCTCAAGCACTTGGTCTACTACAGATTCAACACGGTAATATGTTTTATATTGTTGACCACCCACATTAACACCTGCCTTGAGTTTTACGTTTACTTAACTTTCTTCTACGTAAACTTTACAATCACCAAGACTGACTCTCTTTCACCAAAACCAATTCTATCCCTTCCGATCCTACTTCTTTATCATTTTGTCAAGGTTCACACTAAAAATGACGGCCAGTCCCTCTCGTCTAACTTGAATATGCATCTACACCTGTGTTTACTTACGGCGAACACTTGTGTATCTTCAAATTAACTAGCTTTTACGCAGTGATAACGTGCTTCTTATCGCAAGACCGGATTTACGTGAGATAAACTTTTAAAAAACAACGCAATTATTTCCAGATGTCCCTAATCTTTCTTGACGTAATCTAACTGAACAATAAATCAACCATCGAATTTGTATTCAATCCAAATTAACAACCACATAATCTTAAAAAAACTGAAATTTACCTCATACCACAGATTTAAACACTCCAGATAGCTCATGGCATAGGAAAAATAGTTGCGCGGTAAAGTATTCAAGCAGGTATTGCCTCTATGTGTGATTTCAGTAACTATTAATTTTGCGGGTATAAGTAGTTAGCGTCAATACTTATACAAATGGCATCTATACATGTTTTAAAATGCCATCTATAAAGGCTTCTTTCAAACATTTTAGATTTTATTTTTATTGTATTGAGACATGTGTCTTTGTTATCATGAATTAATTTCGATATCCTATCTCATATACGTATAAATGAAATTTCTACCTCTTAAACCTTTTGTATACGTATGTATTTCTCCAAGGTTGTATAAAAATGGCAAAAGCGGGTAATTGTTTGTGAATATTAGCAGTGTGGCAATTCATAAATAACAACCCCTAACTTCAAACTATACGGATAAGAAAGGTGTCGTACATGGGTGAAAAATTTAGATATTTTCACCTTTATTTGGTCCCTATATAAATGGCAATTAACTTTAACACTTAGGAATTGTGGTAAAAAAAAGAGAAATAAGTGCGCTGTTGCAGTCACTTTTTGAGAAAGTTTGTACTTACGAATTTTAAAACAAGTTTTAAAAACTTGCCTCAAAGTTGGTCATTCTTTGCTCCCAAAATAATCTACCTTTAGTTTTAGTGTAATATATGTTTCCTTCATTTTGGGTTTACCCATATCTTAATGTACCCACCTATACGTCTGAAGCCAAAAATTTAAAAAACCCTGACCTGAATAATTAGTACAAATAATGGTTTTCACATATTAATTCTCAAATTTACGACTTTTAAGTGATGATCTATAGTCGAAAATCGTGGTTCAAACTGTCATATTTAAATTCGGCATGATCTTAAGCTAATTTACCCAAAAATGTTTAAGTTGATAGCCCTTCGCAAAAAAAAAGTAACTATACAGGGTCATTCTTGACGAGCGTCAGTTAGAAAGATATGGAAAACCTCGTGGAAAACCTTTGAAAATGAAAATAAACTGATAAGACCCTTGGTCTTGGTACATGATGAATTGAACTAAAATATTTTCAAGATGGCGCCACTTCCGGAAATACCGGAAGTAGCCATCAACTTTGTTATTTTAAATAGGGACCCCCTATTTTTTTTACATTTTCGGATTCTACCTCGAATTTGGAGTACAACGATACCCCATAGTTGACCCTTTGCTCCAAGGGCTTCGTCGATATTCAAGTTTTTATGTCAAAAATTGAATTTGCAGGGGTAATTTTAAAAATTTATTATTCGAAAACGCTGAGAGATATTGAAAAACAGTTTTCAATGCTTTATTAAGGAAAGATCGAATTTTCTTATGGTATACGAAACCGTCTAAAAAAGTGAGACTACGTGTCTTTTTCACAGCTCTCAACTTTTGAACTTTTAAATATCGGTAACTCCATTTTTTTAAATGACACCCCCCATTTTGTTCTTCACCGTTGTTTTCCTTTTTCCTACACCTTTAATTTGATACAAAATGTCAAAAGATGCTTCAAACGGTTTCCGAGCTATTCCATGTTTTAGTTACTTCTTGTAGCAAATTAATAAAAAAATTAATTCGCTTGGTGTTATTCTTTTGTTTTTATCGGAAATCGTTTGAAGCACCTTTTGACATTTTGTATCAAATTAAAGGTCTAGGAAAAAGGAAAACAACGGTGAAGAACAAAATGGGGAGTGCCATTTAAAAAAAATAGAGTTACCGAAATTTAAAAGTTTAAAAGTTGAGAGCTTTGAAAAAGTGACGTAGTCTGACTTTTTTAGACGGTTTCGTATACCATAAGAAAATTCAAACTTTCTTTAATAAAGCATTGAAAACTGTTTTTCAATATCTCTCACCGTTTTCGAATAATAAATTTTTAAAATTACCCCTGCAAATTCAATTTTTGACATAAAAACTCAGTAAGTTGTCAATGACACGACTCTTTTGTCGGGGGCTTGGTGTCAGAGTTGGACTGGGTCAAGCATAGAGTGACCCGGTGACCCAGTTAGTTTACTGACCCGGTGACCCAGTTGACCCGGTGACCCAGTTTGACCCGGTGACCCGGTGGTCCAGTTTAAACCGTTATTTGGATTAAGCTAACTAGTAGAAGAAAATTAAATGTGAATGAACACCAGTAAGCAACTGGTAAGCCCTGAAGCAAAGAAATGAAGGAAGGAACTGTTTAGAAATAACATTACTATAATACAATTCGGGACATGGAAGGTTTTTTTGCGGCAGTATTAAAATAAACATCACAGAAATGGCAGTTGTCCAGCAATCGAGTATTATTTTCAACAAACCAGCATTAAGTTTCATTTATTTCATAATCTGTACACCTGAACCGAGGTCACTGACTTAACTGCGTTATTCGATCAAACTAGGTTACTGGGCCAAATTGGGTCGCTGGATCAAACTGGGTCAAACCGGGTCACTGGGTCAAACCGGGTCACTGGGTCAAACCGGGTCACTGGGTCAAACCGGGTCACTGGGTCTAACTGAAGAGAATATGACGTGACCCAGTTGACCCAGTGACCCAGTCCAACTCTGCTTGGTGTAGTGCTCTACCTTTTTTTACAGTATTAATATTAAAACAGATTTTAGTATTTAAATTTGTGATATTAATTATTCATTATATTAACTGCAGTATTACTATATACATGTACAACTGATATTTTAACATAGGTATTGATAATTCATCTTAAGTTCTTTGCATTAAAACCAAAAAGAATGCAACGACCGAACTTCTGCAATCGCTCATCCTAAATATTAACCGTGCACTAAAGCTGCTAGATAGTTGTTTAATTTGGGCATTTTTTTCTTCGCTTTTTTATAATAAAACGTAGCATAATTGCGTTGTACACAAAAAAAAAGTCTTTCGAATACTTGAATACAAATATTGCCTTGTTATTTGAAAAAAAAAGTTGTATGAACGTCACTGCCAAAATCTCAGATATTAAGAAAAAGTTTTTAACTGTTTTACATCCTTTATAATGCCTAATGTACATTCGCAAAATTTTAACGAAATCATAGTAACCGTTTTGGCAAAAAATTATTTTTCTATTTCGGTGTTACAATGAGATTTTTGTGCAACTGTTTTCGGCAAAAACAGTGTTTCAATGAGTTCCATTGTAACATTGTTTTTGGTAACTTTTTATCTCTAAGTTGGCAGTTCGCCAAGACGTCAACGTCAAATCATCAGATGTGAAATCAAATTACATAAAGTTTATGTGCTTTCCTTGACTTTTGGTACACGAAGAACTTAATACATTCCAAATCAGCAGTTTACACATCCACCATAAATAAATTTATCTACGAATAAAAATTACACATTCACGGAATTTAAAGTTTCCAAATGTCAGTGTTGTGTTTATCTACGCTGCCAACTTAAAATTTGTCAACGTAAATGGTGTTGCCAACTTAAGACATATTAATTCTAAAGTTTCCTGTAGTTTTTGATAATTACTTTTTAATTAAATTAAAGCCCCGAAATAGAAAAAATAGTATGAAAAACACGTGTTACAATGCTTTATTGTAATACTCCTATCTTGTAATATAAATAGTCGTATTACAATAGGTCGCATTGTAACACTTGTCTTTCAATATACTATTTTCGTTTTTTACTTTGTACTTACATATCGTCATTCATTATAGGTATGATCAGAGTTGGACTGGGTCAAGCATACAGTGACCCGGTGACCCAGTTAGTTTACTGACCCGGTGACCCAGCTTGACCCAGCTTGACCCGGTGACCCAGCTTGACCCGGTGACCCAGTGACCCATCTTTACTCAGTGACCCGTGATGACCCGGTGGCCCAGTAATTAAATTATTGTTAGGTACCATCCAAAACAATTTCAAGTAACTTTTAATTTAAAAAAAACTTCCTCAATAATATTCGGAAATTGGGTCAAACTGGGTCAAGTTGGGTCACTGGGTCAAGTTGGGTCACTGGGTCAAACTGGGTCACTGGGTCTAACTGGAAAGAGTATGACGTGACCCAGTGACCCAGTTTAATTTAATGACCCAGGTGACCCAGTGACCCAGTCCAACTCTGGGTATGATAGTCTAAAACGCCTAAATACAGATAACAAGTGTATACGTTACAAACATCATGAAAAAAATAACACTCCATTGACAAACAAAACTAATGCTGGACAAATATTTGATTAAAATCACATTTAATAAAATCTTCGGGACTGAAACAACATTGACGAATTAAAAAGCGTTTCATTTTATTTCTAAAAATGTGCGGTTCTAAGTCTAAGCCTTATCGGTATGCAATTAAGAAACACTTGAGACTGTATTATAGGACCCTGTTGCGATCTAGTGAGTTTACCGAACTTTACACGGACAATGGCCGGTATGAATAAAAGTAAGCAAATGCTTATACTTGCAAAATTCAAAGTAAATACTGGTAAGTGCTCCTTCGCACTGGGCGACTTAGCAGCGCTTCTAAGCAGAAGGACAGGACGCAGTGCAGCGCTGCTAAACCATGCTAAACAGACCAGTATGAAGGGGCAGTTACGAGTATTTACTTTGAATTTTGCAAGTATAAGCATTTGCTTACTTTTATTCATACGGGCCATTGTGTCGTAGTCTGGTGTTATGGTCATGCGTTTGTCAATTTAAAGTAAAGGTGTGAAAGTTCTTATTTGCAAAGCACAGGCACTCAAGAATGTATGCGCTCGGAAAGGTCAAAATGTTCAATTTTTAACGCGTCGCGACAGTTTGCACGGTAGTCCAACCCTGCGATTATCCTGACCGCTCTTCTCTGCATTCTGAATACATCACTATGCGATGCGGAATTTCCCCACACTATGATGGCGTAAGTCATGACACTGGATTAAAGCGTAGTAGGCATTTATTAATACTTTTTGTGAGACGTTAGCTGCTAAGGTTCGGAGAAGCTAGGTTGCTTTACTCATTCGATTTACTAACGTCTTGCAGTATTCAATATTCAATAGCGCTGATCCTTGAACTCGTAGAAATCGATTGGCGAAGGTTTGACATCGCTGTCTGTTTTCGTTCTTGAGTTAGACGGGGAAGAGACAGACAGCCGGACAGATGGACAAAACAATCACTTAAGGGAAATTTTTTTTATTCCCCTAAAAACGCATAATCTCGAAGTGTATAAAACAAATTGGAAAGTACCTACTCGATGCGTCGAGCTACTCAAGCGCGTTTTTGTTCAAGACCGGACATTTTTTTGTTAGGTTAATATAGCGGAATTCACAGAAACATCACTTTTTTTAGATTCCAGTAAAGTCACTAAATATAGAAAGTGCCGCAATCCATTGGGCTCGTGTGTTAGAGTGACAACGCATGATTTTTGCCCAAAAATGGCGGAAGTTACCAGATTCTAGTAACTTTAATGTTAGGGATTGTTCCACCTGTTTGGAGATATCTGTATATATTTTTCATTGAACTATATACTTGTTACAGAGTATATAGTTCAATGATATTCTTATAAAACATGACAGTACTATGAAGTTAGGTTATAAAAAATGACAGCTATTCAGATTTTATTTGTCAAGTTGGCAGCAAATTTGCCCAAAAATGGCGGATGATTGCGGTACTTTCTATCGGTGTTATTCTGGTGCATCTTGAAATAGTTACGATATTGAAAAGTAAACAAGAATTGAAAAGTTTCCCAATTTGATCTCGGTTTCGTATTCTTGTGACACATTAGTCATTGTAAAAGTTTACAATATTGAGAACTTAATATTGAAATCTTAGCAAGTACGGATTATCCTTGCTAGCCATTTTTCAAGTTAATTTAAAGGTTAGGGTTCGTTTCCAATATGAATGATCCTGAATTTATTTTATTAATAGATGTATTACAACATGTGGAACAAATGTAATAGTTGTATTAATTTATTTTGAATCATTAAAATTATTCAATTTGAAGCAATGAACAACGTTTATGTAGGCGTCCTTATGGGTAGGGAGTATCTGTTCTATGGGAACATCCAGTGAGGCTACCGCTCCATCTACATCTTGTATTACTTCGTCAACCTGAAAGTAAATGTTAATAACGTGCTTTACAAAATACCTGAATTATGATGTACATATTGTATTTCCACGTTTTCAACTGCATGAATCGCTTCGTGCACTTCATTTACCCCTATTTCAGGTACTGTAGAAATCCCATGCACTACCACTGTGCCGGTTGCCCTTAATAACCCTATTTCGAGAGCATTTAGTGCTTTATTCTCCCGTGCTTTCTTGCGAGTTTGCGATTTCCACGCAGTGAACACCTGTAGTCAGAAAATATAATTAACAATTGTATATTAAAGTAGGTAAAATACCTTCTTCCATCCTTCAACTTCTCTAGTGGGTCCATCTCCACATGCATTTAGCTCCTCTGCTAGTTGCAGCCACAAAGAATGAAGATCCTCTGGGCCCAAGTTAGGAGAAAGTTTTCCAGTTCTTAACAAACAATTTTTTTCTAAGTACTCTACATAAATAGTATATTGCGATTTCGATGTCCTTGATTTTTTTGAAAACATTGTCAACTACACGTAACACCACGCCTTAAATCAACTTGTATTTATACCAAACAGCTGATTAATTGTACTTACGCACGCGCACATTATTCACATTTGTGGGTTGGCTACACTGTGTTACAACTTCATGGTTGTTAACTTTTCAATCTTGTAAAACGTAAACCTACGATTACAAGGTGAGCACGAGAATACAAATAATTTTCAATATTGTAAAAGTCACTTGAAAAGGTTTCAATATTGAAAAGTTTTCAAGATACACGAGAATAGGACTGTATATCTAGTGACTTTAGATTCCAGATTGCAGTTACGCCCCCTAGCGGTCATTTCAGAAACTTAAAAATATTTTCCAGGTTTTGCTCGTGGCCGTTTTAGTAATGAATTTTTTTACCGCAAGCCTCTACGATGGATAGATTCTCAGATACAGTACCTCGCATTCTTAGTTGGCCACCCTGTACAATATGCTTAGTGCAGACATTGAATAAAAACCACTTTATTCAATGGTGCAGATATAAAAACCATACCCGATTTAATCCTTTTAAGTAAGGCTTATTACTTAGTGGACGAATTTATGTTGCAAGTACCCTTATTATAATTGTATTGTATGACTTGTCTTATACCTATCGTATTTTATGATCTTTTGGACGAATTATATTATTAAACGAAAAAATTGAAATTAATTCATTTAATTTGCTATTTGGGTATGTAGGTATAGTAGGTACATTATAAAATATGAGAAAATGAATTCCTCTTTTTGAAATCGATAGGTAGAGGCATCGTATAATAAATACATAATGATAGAGGTTACCCGGCTACATCACAATCGCTGATATGATACGAGTATGATAACACAGGTACAAAATACCTAGTCAATTTGCTTGCTTATAATACATAAAAAAGATTTCTTTACATGATGAAACACTGCGGTGTGTGGCCTGTTTACTTATCGGTTTCTGTAAAATAAACTTTTGGTGAGAATCCTAAATTAAAATAGTTATATTGGTTACATTTAGTTTGGATGTAACTCACCAGACGCGTAAATCCAAAGAAAGCGCAGACTATTTTAACCAAGCATGATATATCTGGAGTGTTTAAATCTGTGCTCATACCTCATACCAATAAAACCACAGCAGGGTATATGCAAGAGATATTTCTAATGCAGTAAATTTTTGCGTAGGGTCCTGTGGGTAAAGGTCCCGGCTGCGGTTTCTGGGCGCCCGGTTGGCGGGTCTGGCTCTTCTTCATGCGCGGCATCACTCCGCTCTTGGAACGTTGGCTGGGCAATTTGCTGTCGAGACAGTTCGAGGGACGGCACTCGAAGGGTGTCGCGAAGACGGTGACGAAGCAGAGGGTCGAATCGCATTTCGACCTGGAGCTGCGCGCGTCCGTTATGCACGATATCGTCGACATGATGCCTGAAGGTATCAAACAGAACAAGGCGCGTACGATTCTGCAGCATCTGTCCGAGGCGTGGAGGTGCTGGAAGGCGAACATCCCTTGGAAGGTAATTTGTTGACGAGTGTTGAGAGAGTGTACCCGTTTGATGTGATGAGTCGCGCAGGGGTCCGGAACTCAGTTGACATGTTGACTGACGATCTCCGTCTCGAGTTTGTGTAGACAAACGGGACGGGGATCGGACAATGCGCCGTCTGATATCTTGATTTCTGTTGTATTCCAGTCTTGTTATTTAAATTAGTACATAGTGAGGTTAGGTTCCAGGCTTGCCTATTCCCATCGAGAACATGATCCTGCGTTACGTGAAAATGAAAGCCGACTGGTGGACCAACACCGCTCACTATAACCGAGAGAGAATACGTCGAGGAGCTACCGTCGATAAGACGGTGTGCAAGAAGAACTTGGGCCGACTGACCCGTTTGTATCTGAAAGCGGAGCAGGAGAGACAGCATAACTACCTGAAGGATGGTCCTTACATTTCGCCTGAGGAAGCGGTCGCGATCTACACGACTACGGTGCATTGGTTGGAGTCGCGTCGCTTCGCACCGATACCGTTCCCTCCTCTCTCGTACAAACACGACACCAAACTACTAATCCTCGCCCTCGAGAGGCTAAAGGAGGCCTACAGTGTCAAATCTCGACTGAATCAGAGTCAGAGAGAGGAGCTGGGGCTGATCGAGCAAGCGTACGACAATCCGCACGAGGCGCTGTCTAGAATTAAGCGGCATCTTCTCACCCAGAGAGCTTTTAAAGAGGTAAAGTCGAGAGAACCGAAAAATGTGCAAACTTGTGATTCTAGGTCGGAATCGAGTTCATGGATCTCTACAGCCATTTGATACCAGTTTACGACGTCGAACCCTTAGAAAAAATAACTGACGCCTACCTTGACCAGTACTTGTGGTACGAGGCGGACAAGCGACGGTTATTCCCGCCCTGGATTAAACCTGCCGATACTGAACCTCCGCCGTTGTTGGTTTACAAATGGTGTCAAGGTAAGTACTGTGTCATCATGGAGTAGATATATCGTGAGTTGGGTTGGTAAAGTAACCGAGGCGCCTACATAGAAATAAATACAAATCAAAAAGTCAGCCACTAGCTGAAAGGCAGCTTTCGGACTAAGCAATGCAGGAATAGCATGATAATACGCATATAATACTGAAAACCTTAAATATTCCGTTGCCGCCCAATGCGCAGCACTATTGCGCTCTAAGATGGAGTGGAATTATTAATTAGCGATTCTTAATTCCCTGAAGCGCAATGATTGAGTGTCTTTAATTGTTTATTTATGCCATTTCTATTACAGGAAGTGACGTCACGTGATCACGTCACGTCTAATGGCACGTGATATTGTAGGGAATGTTGTGAGACGTGATTTTGCAATATTTTCGGAAATATTCGCAGTACTAAGAATGAATACTCACAATAAGCGAATATTTCCCATACATTCTTGAGAACTTTACGGGAACAGTCGTCCAAAATTTTCAGATTATACTAGTTTTTAATCGCTCAGTCCCCGTTTTCACAATGTTACGCGAATTTTATGTATACGCGTGCAGTAGCTGCATTTTCGTGAATATTTTAGGTTTTTATGAGGTTTGTGAATCTTCATTCCAATTTTTGACAAAGTTTTGTGTTGAAGGTGCAGTATTTATTATGGCATAATAAAGTGACACAAAAAAACCTTTTTCGTTTTTAGGTATGTGAAATAAACAATTTAAAGCTTAGATGCGTTTTATTGTTTTTAAAAAACTATAAATAACTATCAAAAGATTCATTCGGTTTGATATTATTTTATATGTTTATTGTTCCGTAAGCACGAATTAATTGTCTTTAACCTTTTTACCGGTTGCCGTTTAATGTGGATCTAATATCACTTGTTTTTTAATCGTCGAATCGCTCCAAATATATACGCAATGAAAGTTTTGCACCTTGGACCGGAACGCGTTTATGGTAACAATTTATTTAAACAGAGCACTAATACTATGAAACGAATTGTTCGCTTACGCGTTAAGAGGTAACACTTCGCAACCATTCACGGTTGAAAACTATATCGACTCGGGTATGGAATTAAGTTCCTCATTTTGCATAAACCAGCCACTTATTAACGAATTTGAAAGCACTCCCGACAATAATTTCGTCGAAATTGGTGGCACAACTTTCCGGTTGTGCGACAAACAATTCGTTTATATACTACGGTACGGCTTTCAATTCAAAAAGAATCTTCACGCGATCTCAAAAATGGCGCACACAACTCAAATCGTTCGCCCTGAAAGTTTGGCTAAGAATGTCTTTCTCCCACCCAATTTTTACTCATGTACTCGCCGAACTCGAATGATGAAACCACCCCAAGGAAAACCAATCGTTCACTTTATTTTTTATATATGTGAATCTATAGCAGAAACACCGTCACGACGGTTTTTACCACCCGCACGCATAAAAAGGTATTGCATTGGGGTAAAAATTCATAGAAATAGACGTTTCGAAGCACCAGGAATCCGAAACAAACAAAATCTCTATGATGTCTGTCAGCCACTCTCTTTTCCGGCCAAACGGCTGAACCGATCGAAACCGACTTTAGTACACATTCTTAGACCTCAAAGAAAGAGCTGAACGCACATGCGTAGGTGTGCGGATGGTATTTGTGCTAGCCACAGCAAATTTTTTGAACGGGCAACACTAGCGGTTCGACTCTTATCTGCTTGAACACTCGCTCTTATCTTAACGCGCTTTATTTTCTCGCATATTAGTTCTCTTCTCTTATGTAGCCTTAAGCGTATAGTTTCCTTTACTGGTAAATAAGTAAAATAAACGAAAAAATCTTTAAAGCCTAGGGGGAAACAAGTACCATTTTTTGTGTACACCAAAAATTCAAATTAATTCACGTAAATTCCTGTTAATTCAAATCATTTAAATATCTTAACAAATAAAAAATAGTTTTTTGAATTAGTTTTACTTTTATTCGAGATGCCTACATGCAAAATTTCATGTAATTCGGTTCATAACTAACGGAGATGTCAAAAGGGCCTTCCTTATTTTTTAGCGCATTTTTTAAGAATTGAAAAAAATGTGCTATTGTTTGTGTTTTGTCGGTCCGTCCGAACCCACTTCTGCCGTTTCGAACTACTTCTAGGGGAATGGTCCTAGAATCCTTGAATTTTTGCAGTAGGTGTGCCAGACGGCCGTCAAATTTTGCTGTTTAAAAGGCCCCCCCCCCCCCACGAATTATTTCCCGAGATGCTGTTTTTGGTCTCAGATTTTGCATACACATGCCTTTAGTGGTGCCAAGTTAAACTTTAGAAAATTGGGTGGGGAGGGGGGTGTAAACACATGTGTTCTACTCTCCATGGTATTCTAATGAAAGGTCTCATCGAAATAAATTATAACTCAACGAAAGAAACAGTTTTCTACAAATTACTGCCCTTCTTTCTGTCCTCTTATCAAAGTACGGGGCGGAGGGGGAAGGGGGGTGGAACTAGTTTTATCCTTTATAGTACTCTAATGAAAGGTCTCAACGAAAGGAATTAATTTATATTAACCATAGTCTTCCTCCTCGATCCCTTGTCGTGATCGGTTATAATTCCTTATATCTTAAGAGTGAATTGTCAAAGGAAAGTACCTACAAAGGGCGACTGGGACGTTTGGAAGAAATATAGGTAACCATTGGGCATTTAAATAAAATTTGATACATAGCCACTTGGAATAAAAGAAAATTTAACACCAGTTTCAAAATTTGGTTTTGTGTAGAATGTGCAGCGCCAACCTTCTTATTTATGGAAGAAATTTCGTAGGGGTGTTTAAAAAAAATGCGCTTTACCTGCACAAGGGTTATGCACAATTTGTACTTGTTGGCCTACATTGCCACTTAACGCGCTCTTATCTTCAAATTTAATAAAAGAATCCACCTGCAAAATTTTATCGTAATCGGTCCACCCGTTCTCTTTTAAATCGATGGGCATGAAACCATCATCGAGCGAGGTAGCGAGCAAGTAGGCGATCGGACGATTGGGAGAAAGCATAACTGTCTCATTTAAAATTCGACGCTAATATATAAGTGGCCGCCATTTTGTTCCAAAAGGTGTAAATTCACAAACTTGACCGATATCACAGATAATATTTTATCTGTGCCGATATATTTATAGAGTTACACCAATCCTTAAAGTTTGGTAATTCAAATTAATTCACGTTAATTAATCAAAATCAAAACTAATTCAATGAGATGTACACCAAAAATTCAAAGTTGTTTCCCCCTAGCCTAAAGCCTCTCTTATATTAGCATTACAAATGCGACGAATTGTGCCTTTTTGTACTAATAACAGTGGCAGCACTGGAGTTGCCCAAAAGATAATCGTATACGTGGTGACTTTGGACATGGGCGTAGTTGTATTTAAGTAATGCAGTTTGCCATACCATTGCTCATATACAGGGTGAGTTTTTTTTCATTTCAAGCATTAGGATCTCGGAAACCGGAAGACATAGAGATTCGGTTAAATGAGGTTGTAGTTTTACGAGCTTATTCAATCCTTTTGTTTTTCTAAAAAAATCCACAGTTTACTAGATACGAGCGAAAAACAGATTTAGTGATTTTTCATTTAACTGTTGTAGAATCTTTAGTATTAGAAATACAGAAATATGCAAAGAACAAAAATTGTAGATTTTTTTCCGCTTCATAACATACATTTATTAATATTTATTCTTCTTTTATAATTTTCGAGTTATAATTTTAATGGTAATCATAGTTGGCTGTGACATTTTTAAAAAGTGCATTTTTTTCTGTTTACAATGATAATAAGGTTCATTGTACTTACTTTGACAAATAAACATGATACAGAACTGTTTGTATTATTAAGAGTAGTGAAAACAGATTTCGCCATGGGAAACATTTTTGTTCTCTTAATTACTGTCTATAACACCAAAATTGTAAGATCTAAAAATAAATTAGTATGTTCATCATCTTAAGCATTAAAATGTCTAAAACTTTTATTCGTGTCATTTTGTTATATTTCTAATAATAACGATTCTACAACAGTTAAATGAAAAATCACTAAATCTGTTTTTCGCTCATATCTAGTGAACTGTGGATTTTTTTCAAAAAACATAGCATATCCTAAATAAGCTCTTAAAACGACAACTCTTTCCTCATTTAACCGAATCCGTATGTCTTATGGTTTCCGAGATCCCAATGCTTAAAATGAAAAAAAAACTCACCCTGTATGTGCGCTTACTCCAGGGAACAGAGACTTTGAACTCGCTAAATGAGTACTTCCAATTTTTGTTGCACGTTATGGCGACGAACTTCGGTAGTTCGCACCGAATCGGTGAGCTTTTAAAATTAAATGATGTAATCTTCAATTCAATTTAATTCATTATAAATTATGCATTCAAAATTAAGTTAAGGATAAATCGAGGGCTGCGAACTTATCCTTGGGAAAGGTTTCGGAACGTACGTACGTACGCGAGTCGATTAGTCGTAGAGCGCTTCATGCAGTTTTAAGCTGAATCGTCCCCTAGGATGGACCGCATCAAGCCAACGTTGTGCCGCAGACGAAGATTTTCGCAGCAATTCCGAGAAAAACGGGATAATTGAAAATGTCCAGTCATGCCCACTAGGATTCTGTAGTCGGTCCGTGCAGATGAACCATATCACCGTTCATAGATACAATGAGCTCTACAAGACACCGATTTTTGATACGTTTCGTTACCGAGAAATCAACTTAATTTTTTATATGGCTCGTAAAAACGTCCATACTGTATTGAATAGTTGTGTAATCTCAGCGGAACGCCTGTTATCCCATATGACTCAAGTTTCAGCAATATATTGTTGATATCAAACGCTGATAGTTGGCAACATCATATTCGTATAGAATAGTCCGAATGGTATAGTATATTTTGTAAAAGACGAATATTACCGAAAATTTTCGAAGATTATCGAACGTTCTCGAATATTCGCAACGAGAAACAAATTTTACAACACTAGCTGGACAGTAGACATGTGCAAAGGATTCATCGACGTCACTTCCTGTAATAGAAGTTACATTTAGGGCAGTAACACACTAAGTAACCTGGCTGCGACAATCATTCCGGTACATGATTGCTTATTCGAACCAGTAAACAGCGAGTCTTCCGCGTGCATTTCAATCGATCTAGCGCGTTTACTGGCCCTACTTATCAATATGTTTCTTGCGGAGATTTGACATTTTTGTCGATTATAGGTATCAATAACTTACAAGACGTATGGGATGTAACAGAAGGAGAATGCAATGTACTACTCGAATCGAAATTCGAGAAACTATACGAGAAAATCGACTTGACACTACTTAATCGTCTACTCCGACTGATCGTCGATCATAACATCGCGGATTACATGACGGCGAAAAATAACGTGGTTATTAACTACAAAGACATGAATCACACAAACAGTTACGGCATCATTCGGGGCCTACAGTTCGCGTCGTTCATCACGCAGTACTACGGCCTCGTGCTCGACCTGCTCGTTTTGGGCTTGCAGCGAGCCAGCGAAATGGCCGGCCCCCCGCAAATGCCCAACGATTTTCTAACCTTCCAAGACATACCGACGGAAGCGGCCCATCCCATCCGCCTGTACTGCAGATACGTCGATCGCATACACATCTTCTTCAGGTACGTCCCGCTCGTGCTCTCCCCCTTTTCACCTCGTTCGCTTGTAGATTCTCCGCGGAGGAAGCGCGCGAACTGATTCAGCGCTATCTGACCGAGCATCCCGATCCCAATAACGAAAATATTGTCGGTTACAACAACAAGAAGTGCTGGCCGCGAGATGCCAGAATGAGACTAATGAAGCACGACGTCAACTTGTAAGTCCTCCGAGTGAAGGGTGAGCGAGTAATTTTTCGCATTTTTAGGGGGCGCGCAGTCTTCTGGGACATTAAAAACCGCCTGCCGCGTTCCGTCACCACAATTCAGTGGGAGAACAGCTTTGTAAGCGTTTACTCCAAAGACAACCCCAATTTACTGTTCAACATGTGCGGCTTCGAGTGCAGGATATTGCCCAAATGTCGCACGCAACACGAAGAGTTCACGCATCGGGACGGCGTTTGGAATTTACAACACGAAGGCAGCAAGGAGCGCACGGCCCAGTGCTTTTTAAGGGTGGACGACGAGTCAATGAGCCGATTCCACAATCGGGTTCGTCAAATTTTGATGGCGTCCGGTTCGACCACCTTCACCAAGGTTCGTACTCGTACTGCAAGCCGCTAACTGACACGTGGTCCTTTCAGATCGTAAACAAGTGGAACACGGCCTTGATCGGTCTGATGACGTACTTCCGCGAGGCGGTGGTTAACACTCAGGAGTTACTCGATCTGTTGGTGAAATGCGAAAATAAAATTCAGACGAGAATTAAGATCGGACTCAACTCTAAAATGCCTAGTCGATTTCCTCCAGTTGTGTTTTACACTCCTAAAGAATTGGGTGGACTGGGAATGTTATCGATGGGCCATGTCCTGATCCCTCAAGTAAGTAATTCTTAGCCGTGGTTCCTTTTTAATCGTAACTCATTTTAGTCTGACTTGCGATGGTCCAAACAAACCGACGTCGGGATCACGCATTTCCGTTCGGGTATGAGTCACGACGAAGATCAGCTGATTCCGAACTTGTACCGCTACATACAGCCGTGGGAGTCTGAGTTTATCGACTCGCAGCGCGTTTGGGCCGAGTACGCGTTGAAGCGACAAGAGGCGAACGCGCAGAACAGACGACTCACCCTCGAAGATTTGGAGGATTCGTGGGATCGTGGCATTCCCCGTATCAACACTCTCTTTCAAAAGGATCGGCACACGTTGGCCTATGACAAGGGATGGCGAATTCGTACCGAATTCAAGCAGTACCAAGTGCTCAAGCAAAACCCGTTCTGGTGGACGCATCAGCGCCACGACGGAAAACTGTGGAACTTAAACAATTATCGTACAGACATGATTCAAGCTCTTGGCGGTGTTGAAGGTATCTTAGAACACACATTGTTCAAGGGTACTTATTTCCCTACATGGGAGGGTCTCTTCTGGTAAGTTCACCCCCACAATTCAAGAACTGTTTTGTAATTGAAGACCGTAGGGAGAAAGCTTCAGGCTTTGAAGAGTCGATGAAATATAAGAAGTTGACCAACGCCCAACGGTCCGGTTTGAACCAAATTCCGAATCGTCGCTTCACCTTGTGGTGGTCGCCGACAATTAACCGCGCCAATGTCTACGTCGGCTTTCAGGTGCAGCTCGATCTGACCGGCATTTTTATGCACGGCAAAATTCCCACCTTGAAAATTTCGCTCATCCAAATTTTCCGCGCCCATTTATGGCAGAAGGTGCACGAGTCGATCGTCATGGATCTCTGTCAGGTAGGTGGATCGTTCGGTCGTTGTACATTATTTTCGTCAATCCGTCTTAGGTGTTCGATCAAGAATTGGACGCTTTGGAAATTGAAACTGTACAGAAGGAGACCATCCATCCGCGTAAATCGTACAAGATGAACTCGTCGTGCGCAGATATTCTACTGTTTTCTGCTTATAAGTGGAACGTTTCAAGGCCGTCACTTCTTGCCGACACAAAGTAAGTAACAGATGGGGTCTTTAAGAGTTTTTGCCGAGATGTGGGGGAGAGGGCAGGCATTACACAAAAAATTGAATGTGTGCCGAGGGGATATATAACGGGAATTGCATTTGATGAGGGCGGAATTCGGTCAAGAATGTATGCATAGCCCCAAAAATACACCACTTTGTTGTCCATCTTTCTTTATCTCACGATGAGTCTCACTATAGAACTCTGTAGACTATGATTTTGTTTCAATAAATTCGGTAAGTGGAAATCTTGCAAACAAAAGATTGGCAAAGACATTTCACGGGTTGATGTCGAATGTAAAGAACTTCAGTAGCATACCAGAATTTTAAGGTAAGTGTATTGAATCTCAATAGTTGAAATACAGATAAAGTGTCTACACTTTCCCTGCATTTTAAATAATATTTATCTGTTATTGACGAAGTGTATGGTCGGGGATACGCGTCGTAATCTTGAACATCATAATTGTATCTACGTCCATTTCCCCCAGCCCCGCCCATTGCTTCCATTTTTGAAAAAAAAATTGGATTCGATTGTACTTCGTTTGTGCTTATTTGTGCTTCAATTATTTTCGCTTTCCTGGAGAATCTGTGGGCGGGGCCAAAGAAATGCCACCCCCACCCAACCTATTACTATTGTAAAACAAACCACTGGAATCGTTTGTGCTTCGTTTGTACTGCACAATTATTTTCGTTTGTGCTATTTGCTTTTCCAGAGAAACGGTGGGCGGGGCCAAGGAAATGCCACCCCGCCCATTCTTACTATTGTCAAAAAAACAACTGGAATCGTTTGTGCTATTTGCTTTCTCAGAGAAACGGTGGGCGGGGCCAAGAAAATGCGACCCCCGCCCAATCTTACTATTGTCAAAAATACAACTGGAATCGTTTGTGCTATTTGCTTTCCCAGAGAAACGGTGGGCGGGGCCAAGGAAATGCGACCACCGCCCAATGTTCCTATTGTCAAAAAAACTACTGGAATCGTTTGTGCTGTAACTACTTTCGATTGTTCTATCGTCTTCTTTAATATTTTTAGGACAAAGTTTCTGCTTATACACGGTGTCCATTTTTCGATGGGATCTCGCTTATTTTAAGTAATAGAAAGTTGGTTAAATGGGCGCAAGCTAGCAAATTTTCGTGCTGAATAATAAAAAGAAATTTAAAATATCTTCAATAGTTTTGAAAATATCGCAAAAAAAACGAAAATTTCTTCAATTTCATGATAAAACTAATCGTAGGTACTAGACATTTCTAACCAAAATATTCAAACACTTTTTCTGGAGAATTTGAATATATGGCATCCCCTTTCTATAACTTTCAAAGTGACGAAGAAACACGTGGCAACTTTATTCTTTCTTATGGACGCCAATTTGAATTTTGACATTTAAGAGATTACGACTTTTTAGCGCATTTCCACAAAAATAAAAAAAAATGCGCTATTGTGGCCACTTTGTCCGTCCGTCCGCTCGTTTTGCGACGCTACTAGTTCTTTATCTTAAGAGCTATTGTTCTACTTTTTTCGCTATTTGTTTCGTTATGGTGTCGAGTCTTGTACCAAGGAAGGAATTTTTTCTGTACCGCTTACAAAAAAAGTTATTGTAAAAAAACAAAAAAACCGTTTTTTACATGTTCCATAATTTTACACTTTTGCCGTTTATTAACGATCCTAGAGATCGTTTATAATTTTGTATTGCTGTCTGCCTGTTGGTCTGTCTAAAGTCACTAGATATAGAAAGTACCGCAATCATCCGCCATTTTTGGGCAAATTTACTGCCAACTTAAAAAAATTGACAAATAAAATCTGAATAGCTGTCATTTTTTATAACCTAACTTCATAGTACTGTCATGTTTTATAAAAATATATACAGATATCTCCAAACAGGTGGAACAATCCCTAACATTAAAGTTACTAGAATCTGGTAATTTCCGACTTCCGCCATTTTGGGCAAAAATCATGCGTTTCTCTCTCTAACACACGGAGCCCAATGGATGCGTTACTTTCTATATTTAGTGAACTTTTAGGTCTGTCCGTCTGTTCCTTTGTCTGTCTGTCCATCTATCTGTCCGTGTGAACGATAACTTTGTTTAGAAATGTTCGATCGCTTTTACATCTCCGTTAGTTATGAACTGAATTGCATGAAATTCAATATGGGCATAGCTTTAGCCATATAATACGCAAAACCAAAAGTTGAATCGGATCGATTCAAAATTCACAGTGCCCTTTTCGCATCTCGACCATTTATAAACCGAATTGCAAACTTTTAGTTATAAAAGTATTTGAATGAAATTTGATACATAGGCACATGGAATAAAGGAAAATCAAACGCCAGTTCCAAAATTTGGTTTTGCGCATGCGCAGTGCCAACTTTTTTATTTGTGGAAGAATTTAAACGAAATTTGATACATAGGCGCTTCGAATAAAGGAAAATCAAACGCCAATTTCAAAATTTGTAGTGGCCCGCTTAGACACGATTTGAGACTGTCAACCTATAAATTAACAAACGTCAATTAATTAATCGCCTAGATATGGCAAAAAAAGCAAACCTATTCTTATTTGTGGACGGATAGAAGATAGTCAAGAGTATTTAAAGCTTCCCGTATAACGCAGTTACTATAAAAGCTACTCTTTACGCGATCCGAGTTGGTGTTTACAGGACTTCAGTTTTCCCTGAGATTCACATACCCACGACTACGGTGCCCTCTATCCGTGACCATTCATTGTGTATTGAAAGCATAGGACTAATAGCAGTCTGTGTACTATATGGTCTAAGTGTAAAACTGACATGCACACCTGCAAAAAGATCTCTCCCGGTAGACTAGAACTATCCCCCACAGCACATGAATGATCTACTTAAATCAAAAAGCCAAATCTGGCGAGAGTTTCAAAGAATAAGGTGCCCATTAATCAAAAACCCAATAAATAATATTACTCATCAAATTAAAAGAGAACTAGATAACCTACGAATAAACAAACACCCACAGAACACCTGATTTTAGCCCAACCCACTTCACGCAAGTTAACTTAAACACTTAACAACAAAAACCCTAGTGTCGCTAAGTTCAATATTCAACGCTTGCTTGTAGGTATAACTATTAATAATAATAATATGCTTTATTTTTTGCAAGCTGGTAAGAAAATAACATAAATTCAAAGTTAGAGAATCACGCAAAAAAAAGGATTATAAAACAGTTAATACTGATCTTAAATTCCAATCCTAAGGAACCGAGTTATAGTATCATGTGTGAATAATACTTAGGGTATACGTAAGAACTAAGAAGTGAAAATATAAAGCGAAAATTAAAAAAAAAGAATTGAAGTTACGAAAAGAATTTAGATACATAGTACTTAGCAGCACATGATTTACGCTTTAATAAATTGTTGATCTGGCAATAAATTTATTTAAAAAAAAATGATGCAATATGGGAACTGACGTATATAGGTACATCGAATATCGATGGTGGTGATTTACTTTTCAGATACTTTCTGGGAGCAAATATTTACTCCGAGGGCGAGTTTTCTTGGGACCGAATCTTCTAGGGGACGAATATTCCAGGTGGTAATCTTGAGAGAGCGAATTTTTCTGGGTGTATTCAAAAATTCACATCTATTAAACCGTTCAAGATAGGTAAGTGCGCTTTTTTTATAATCGTATCCTTAAGATCCAAGGAATTTTTCGAGGAATTTTTTGAGTGACCGCTGAAAGTCTTGAAAAAGTGCGATTTTTCAAACTTAGCAATCAGAAAATGTGAAAAACTTCAGTTTTTTGCAAATTTCAAATTGGCCACTTTTTCAAAACTTTTAGGCCACTCAAAAAGTTCCTTAGACTTTAAGGATCCGATTATAAAAAAGAGCACTCACTTATCTGGAACTTATCTGTATCTTCAAATTTTCAGAGAAAAAACTACGACAGATTGATAGGTACGCAAATTTTAAATGCGTTGAATTCAGAATAAAAACACATTTAGAAAGTTGTGTTTCTTCTGTCTTCCTGTATTTACGGAAACGCCGCCCATTTGAAATTAGGTCGATTATTTCAAGTTCCTATTTCAACTGCCAAACTTCTAATACATTCTTAACGCGCTCTATACATGGTGAAACAAATTATTAAAGAATTATGTACCGGGTGCTCTAATAAGAATGCTATACTCTGTACTCACTTTAAGCCGGGCTCAAACGACTCGTGTACTTGGCGAATACACAATTATTTGCGTACTTGGGAAGTATACGAGCTTGGCGAGTTGCGATGGCAAGCAGGGCACTCACACGACATGTACATTGTACAAGTACGCGAGGGCGAATATTTGGGGCGAACATTTGTAACACTTGTATCCTTTTCCAGGCATCATTAACTGCATTTCGATTTTTATGGTCTTTGTGTTTAGCCATCCAAATGACCGGCTCATTTTCATAAAAAACAAGAAATTCCAACACAATCTCATTTGTCCACTCCATTTCAATAAAAAAAGAAAAAAAACAAAAAATTATTTGTGCATTCCGTTTGAGCGCCTCTACAAGTATAGATAAGTATGTACTTGGCAAGTGTGCGAATAATCGTGATCCCTTTGACTCGGACCAATTTTACCGACAAGAAATGGACAACTAACGAGTGACAATTAATTGTACAAGTAACCTACTCACACGACATGCCAAGTATACGAAAGTAACGATTATTCGCCAAGTACACGAGTCGTCTGAGCCCGGCTTTATATATTGTTCATTTGCAGTACCTGTGATTCTCCTAAGGTTGCGAACAGTTACCGATTATGCAATAGCCGTCGTAAAATGGAAATCCGCCTTCTTTTAGCTCATTTTTGTCCATACGTATATAGATGTAGTAATTTTTTTCGAGACGTGGAAAAACATTCTCTACAGTGTACCAGGGTTTCAGCACATGTAATATCGCCTGTGCGTGGTGCCATGGCGTATCGCATCGTGACTTTTTAACTAAAAAAGGAATCTATTTTGCCAAGAGGATAGAGCAACCCAAAATAAATGCTATATAAGCGAAGCACAAGCAATTCCAGAACTTTTTGGAAAAATAGCAAAAATGCCGAGAGGACACATTTCTATCCCTACCATTGCTTTTCTATGAAGCAGGGTAGCATAAACGAAAATACGAGTTGTGGCCCATACAAAGCATATACAATTCGAATAGTTTTTTTATGAAATAGCAAGATTACGCGAGATTTGCATTTCTTTGACTCTGCCTACCATTTCTCTAGGAGAGAGAGAGTATGCAAATAATTGCAACATGCACAAGCAGAGATGACTCCACAAACGAAGCGCAAACGATTGCAATAGTTTTTTTTTTTTATAATAAGATTGGGCGCGGCGGGGCGCATTTCTTTGGCTCCGCCCACAATTTCTCTGGGAAGCCGATAGAACAACTGAGTGTAGTTACAGCACAAACGATTCCAGATTTGACAATAGTAAGATTGGGCGGGGGTCTCATTTCCTTGGCCCCGCCCACCGTTTGTCTGGGAAAGCAAATAGCAGAAACGAAAATAAGTGCAGCACAAACGAAGCACAATCGAATCCAATTTTTTTTCAAAAATGGAAGCAATGGGCGGGGCTGGGGAAGTGGACCTTATTTATCTGCCATTGATGAAATGTCGGGTAGGAGGGATAGGCGTCGGAATCTTTTTTTGGCTTCAGAGATCAAGCCCCTGAGGCAAGGCAAAGGGCGCTACTTGATCATAGCTTTGCGTGGAAGTTTTAAATGTCACCAGTTCAAGGTCGCTCCCCATCTGGCGGCGATGTTGGAAGATAGGTCAAGGTGAAGTTCAAAGGTTCGTAGAACTTTTTGTAGAAGCTGGGCTGCTGGGGTTTTACCAATACCCTCATAGAATTCGTGTCTGGTCCTTCTCTTGGATCTCCTTATTTCGTGATCTTATATAAGAAGGGCTGTCCTATACATTTACTAGTGTTCATTTAGCCCTTCGGCAGTCGCCCGAAGTTTTTGTTCGCTATTTTACCCAATTACGTCCCTTGTAAGCCTGTTGGTGTTTCTGGCCTCTTCGACTGCATCAGATCTCTGGAAATGTGTTAGCGGAAAGTGTGTTACTGAAGTTTTTACGAGCATTGCCACCCTTGCCTTGGTCAGTGATACAAATCAGACGGGTTTAGAATAAAAAAAGAAGAAAAGAATCCGTGAGCGTGTTTGAGATGAATTACTTTTCATCAGGGATACCATGGACAACACCACCACTCAGAAGTACTGGATCGACGTTCAACTCCGTTGGGGCGATTACGATTCGCACGACATTGAACGCTACGCGCGTGCGAAATTCTTGGACTACACCACGGATAACATGTCCATTTATCCTTCTCCAACCGGAGTCCTAATAGCCATCGATCTGGCTTACAATTTGCATAGGTGAGATGAAGCGGTCGGCAACCAGATTGTTCACTATAGATTTTCAGCGCGTACGGAAACTGGTTCCCCGGCTGTAAGCCTCTGATACAGCAGGCCATGGCCAAAATCATGAAGGCGAATCCAGCCTTGTACGTACTCCGCGAACGTATACGTAAAGCGTTGCAACTGTACTCCAGTGAACCTACGGAACCCTATCTCTCCAGTCAAAACTACGGCGAATTGTTCTCGAATCAAATCATTTGGTTCGTGGACGACACCAACGTGTATCGTGTCACAATTCACAAGACCTTCGAGGGTAACTTGACGACCAAACCGATCAACGGCGCGATCTTCATTTTTAATCCGAGAACCGGACAGCTGTTCTTGAAAATCATCCACACGTCCGTATGGGCCGGCCAGAAACGTTTAGGCCAGTTGGCGAAGTGGAAGACCGCCGAGGAGGTGGCCGCGTTAATTCGGTCATTGCCCGTCGAGGAGCAGCCCAAGCAGATTATCGTAACGCGAAAGGGAATGTTGGATCCCCTGGAAGTTCATCTGCTCGACTTTCCCAATATTGTGATCAAAGGTTCCGAACTACAGCTGCCCTTCCAGGCCTGTCTTAAGGTGGAGAAGTTCGGCGATCTTATTTTGAAGGCGACCGAACCGCAGATGGTGCTTTTTAATTTGTACGACGATTGGCTTAAAACGATCTCCTCGTACACCGCATTTTCGAGGCTAATTTTAATTCTCCGCGCCTTACATGTTAATACTGAACGGACGAAGGTTATACTAAAGCCCGACAAGACTACAATCACAGAGCCTCATCACATTTGGCCAACGCTTTCGGATGACGAGTGGATCAAGGTCGAAGTGCAACTCAAGGATCTCATTTTGGCCGACTATGGAAAGAAAAACAAGTAAGTTTTGGAGGTCTTCCGCCAGGGGGGGGGTTAATTTCAATTTGTTTCAGCGTCAATGTCGCGTCACTGACACAGTCAGAGATACGAGACATTATACTTGGTATGGAAATTAGCGCGCCTTCCGCTCAACGGCAGCAGATCGCGGAAATTGAAAAGCAAACCAAAGAACAGTCTCAGCTCACTGCGACCACAACTCGTACCGTAAACAAGCACGGGGACGAGATCATCACGAGCACGACTAGTAATTACGAAACGCAAACGTTCAGCTCCAAAACCGAGTGGAGGGTGCGCGCAATTTCTGCAACAAACTTGCACTTGCGCACCAATCACATTTACGTCAGCTCAGACGACATAAAAGAAACCGGTTACACGTACATTTTACCAAAGAACGTCCTGAAGAAGTTCGTTACAATTTCTGACTTGCGCGCGCAGATCTGCGCATATCTATACGGTGTCAGCCCTCCCGATAATCCGCAAGTAAAAGAGTTGCGCTGCCTCGTCCTGGTACCGCAGTGGGGCACCCACCAAACCGTTCACATTCCGCATACCCCTCCCAGTCACCCATTCCTAAAGGAGATGGAGCCGCTCGGTTGGATACACACCCAACCGAACGAGTTGCCTCAACTGTCTCCTCAGGACATCACCACGCACGCTAGGATAATGACCGACAACTCCGCCTGGGACGGCGAGAAGACCATAATAATCACGTGCTCATTCACGCCCGGCTCCTGCTCGTTGACCGCCTACAAATTGACACCATCCGGATTCGAGTGGGGACGACAGAACACAGACAAGGGCAACAATCCCAAGGGATACCTGCCCAGTCACTACGAGAAGGTGCAAATGTTACTATCCGATCGATTTTTGGGTTTCTTCATGGTTCCCACGCAGGGTAGTTGGAATTACAACTTCATGGGTATGTGGGGCACTGTCTGGTACAAGTTTAGATTTTCTTACATTTAGGTGTGCGGCATGATCCGAGCATGAAGTACGAACTACAGCTTGCAAATCCGAAAGAGTTCTATCACGAGGTACATCGTCCTGCCCACTTCCTTAACTTCTCTTCGCTCGAGGATGGCGATGGATCGGGCGCGGACAGAGAGGACGTGTATGCTTAATTTTGTTTTTTTTTGTATGTTTGTTGTAATTAGTTCAAATTTAATTTAATAATAAATAAGTACATTTAATTTTTATTTCAGCAGTTTATTCGGGTTGATCTGATGCCCTAATTCCATATCTGAAATAGCAGGTTAGCCTGATTACATGTTGATGTTGGCCTTACTTTTGTGTGAAAATCCAGAACAAAATGGCCGCTGTCTGGAAACGAAACGGGCGTTTATATAAACGCAATTAAAGGACTGACATACCTTGTCAAAAAATTAAAACCCTGAAAGAAATTACATGTAACCCCCTTTAAACTTAGAGATAATGACGAGGTATTGAGTTAGGTATTAGAAAACTAAGTTATCAGGGAAACAGTGGTTTAATATTAAAGGGCAAAAACTTGAAAAATTAACAAGGTGCCGTACTCACGTTATTAGTGAAACCCAAGGTATAGCCTCCCAAACTCTGAGAAAAATGCAGAAACCCGTCCAAACTAATTCGAGGCTGTACAAAATATAGGTTCAATCGCCAGAATAAGTATAGGTGGAAATTGCAATTAGAACCTCATGGATTTCACCCTACGCTCTCCTTGACGTGCGCGTAACGAGAATGTCGGAAGAGGAAGTTGAAAATGGTAGTGCAATTGTGACTTACCTTATATTTACAGTTGGCAACTCTGGGCGAAAAAACTACGAGCACGACGGGCGTGTCGCGGTACTTAAATCTCGGTAGCAGTCGTTAGGACGTTGTACGCGGTTGAACTGTGTCTTTTCTCTTAAATATGAGATGAGTTGCGTAACCATAGGGGTGTTACCACAACAAATGAGGAAGTAAACTGTTTAACTGTAAAATTTAGACACATTACCTTTATAAAGAAAAGTTGACAACGCTTTACATGGAAAGTTAGTGACAACTGTTTGCTACTGTTTTAATTATTTTATTACGTTTTGCTATGTCGATGAAAAATTCGTTAGTTTCATAACGAACAATTATGGAAGCCTAACTTCTGCTATATTGTGCGCCAAAAGTTGTATAACCCAAAAAGGCCATCGGGTTTACCAAGAAAAAGTAAGCAACTTATTCGTTATTTTGAACGAAAAAGAGATAATGGTAGTCCATTTTTACGAGTCGCAGCAGTAAGAGAGGTGAGTGGTTACTTAATTTAGTAATATAAGATAATAATAAGACAGCATTTAATGCAATTTTTTATATTTTAAGTATACGGTAAATTTTTTAAAAATGTTTTTATTTTATTTGCAATATGTTAATGTTGTAACCTTTTGTTAAAAAAAATTTAGTAAGTTTAATTAAATAATCTAAATTAAAAAAAAAAAAAAGAATTCGTATACATAACAAGTTTTATTTTACAGAGTTACAGATGCATTAAATATTAGCCTGCGACCAGTGACTTCTATTTCACAAATTTGTAAATCGACAAACCTATAGAAAATCCATAAACAAGGCAATGGAACAAACCCGTTACCGATGTTGATAGTTTCACACAAACAGCGATTCGGAACTCTATCTACGACATGATCCAACACAGTAAGTAAAAACACACGTTGAATGGTTGAATGTAGATAGGCATTTATGTCAACTATGCAGCGATTATATTAATATTTGTGTGAATATTATAAGCAGTTTACGTTTGTATTTTGGAACATCTTACACTTTAATCCCTTTTGCTAGTTCTAAATGAGAAAGACGTACCTTCCTTCCTTAAGTCCCAAAAGTTTTTTCCGCTAACAGACAATCCAAGAAAATGTTTAATGGAGTTACCCAATATTGCACTGTCAAGAGTCCATTTTTAGATGCGTGTGTAACAAATATGCAATCTGAGTATGTGTAAGGGTTCTTGGTAGGCATAAGCACCAAACTTGAATTTAGTTTTTACAATGAAAGGTTCCACCCTGTATATACAACTTACGACGATACATACATTTCTGATAGTTGGCAACCATGCAATTTCTAGGTGGGAAATAAAGTCCCTAGATTACGTGGGAACATAGATATAAAAATACCTAGATACAGCCATCCTTAACAAACGTACCTCGGTTTTTAAAAAACATATCAAAGAAATTTGTACATCTCTCCATTACTTTCTAACCAAGATGAAACATGTTCTATCTCTTTTTATTGCCTTAACCACTATGTCGTACGCGGATCGGACGCTTAAAACAAACTTATCGCGTCCCATAAGTCATGTGACAGTTGACACATTTCACGATCGCGCGAAATCAAATCTAACTAAAAATATTCGCCCTAAACATGATGGGCGGTTTTTTCACTAAATATTATGTAATTATTGCGTTATCAATTGAATACGAATAACATTAGTGCTTGCTACAATGATAGACGCGTCCATAATTGTTATTCCTGAAATAGTTTTATTACATAGAGCTACGCCATTCAAATTTGGGATTATGTTTACCTTGTTTGGCATGATGTGCTGCAGTGAATTCATTGCTGGCTTGCAGAATATCAAAAAAACCGTAAGTAAGTAAAGTTTATGTTCAACATTTTAATTTTAATTGCATGGTTTTAGGCGTAATGGTAAAGGAAATTAAGTTGCGACAGGAAGTGAATTCGTTTCCAATTATCATTTTGGCCTATATGATGTTGATGCAGTGCGTTTGTATCATGATCACAAAGAAGGATCCGTGCAATATTCTTAGGAAAACGAGTTTTTAGACTGTGTGTGCGTGCAATATCAAATTTTGGTCGCTACGCGTCTTGCCTACCTTTCGGCATATGTCCATTCGGTGGGGTTTCTTTTTGAAATTATAGTGCTAATTGTAGCAAAGAGTAAATTATGGTTACTCTTTGATTGTAGTAAGTAAGCTACACATGTACATTTATTAAAAATAAATACAACACCTTAACAATGATATCCAATTGGCGATAATACTCATTTAGTGAACATTCATTACGTTTGTAAAAGCTCACAATCCGAATCATCGTCAGATGAAATTGACAAATTCGAATCATCACTGTCATTATTAACACTTATTATAAAGTTCAGCCACATCAACCAAATATAACTTCTCTTTTAAATTAATCACTTTCCACATGTTCACACACTTTCTTCCAGTTGTCAGCTGTAATTTTTTCAAATTCTTCATTTGCCAGCTTTCTAAGTAACATCTTCCATTTTAAATGCAACATTTCTTGCTGCTATGCGATTTAAATAAATAAAAAGGCGGTTTATTTATGTTGTAAAGTCTCAAATCTGATAATTTTCTGTGTGATTTGTGCTAACAATTTGATTGACAGTTATAATAAATAATGCGAATCTTGTCTTCCATGCTCAGGGTACCTCTATAAAGGATAGCGCTATACGTAATTAATGTGCCGAAAGTGATGGTAATAGATGGTACGTCCTTTTGAACTATGTTGGGGTATGGCTGTATCTATGTATTTATATATCTATGGTGGGAAAAAGCTGCCTGCGCCATCTAGAAAGCACGAACGTGGGTTACGTTTAGCATCTTGTCTTGAATGGCGGTCGTGAACGCGTGGCTCCATAAATGTTGGTTGTTATTTTGTGTTATTTAATGCAGGTAGTAATTTTTGTATTTCTTTATATCGTATTTATATTTTGTATGCCGCATTTTATATTTTTTGTGTGTTTCAATCTTTGTTTTTGAATTTTAGTTGGTTTAACCCCAATGCAGAATGAAATGTTTAATACCGTTATGCATTTGTTTGTAATTGTTTAAATTTTTGGTGTAATGTGCTTAATTTACGTTTATGAGTGTTGTTCCAGAAGTTACAGTCATATAAATTGTGATCATTTTATTTTAATATGTGGAAATTACCGATTCGTTTAATGTATGTACTGACTTGTTGTTTGTAACTAACAATTTTCTCCATTAATGAAGCAGTCACGGGGGTGGTAAAAACTGTAGTCAAAATTGAGCTACGACACCTAATTCCGTGATTGTCTTCGACATTCAACTGTAGGCTCGAAACCAGGGGCGGGTTACCTATCTTGCAGGAACAGGATTACTCTAATCAAAGCTCTTCAGTTTAAAATCTATGTGCGATAGGCCATGTAATTTTCCATCTTGCTTTTAACAAAATGATTTTATTGCACCAAAAATGAGTCACATCCTGTGCATTTCACCCTTTCTTAGAATCTTGGTACCTGCTTACCTGACCCATAATTCCCAAAACTTGTTTTTAACCTATAAGTTACCTCTTGAAGTTTACCTGCTACTTTTTGTGATGTTATAATTTTATGTTACGCATTCACATCGTTACAAACAATTAATTTTACAACACAATTTGATATTAATTTGATGGATCGTTTTTTTTATTGGTAAGTTCATTTTTTCCAGCCTATTTCTATTTTTATTCGGTGAACTACCATTTTCAAAGTTTATTTTTGCAATGTAATTTAGTTTGGACTTAAATTTCCGAGCTTTTACAATCATAATAATTACGATCATTATTAAACAAACTTTTCACAATTTCAGTGTTTTATTTAACGTTCCTTCCCTATGTGCTTCACTAACCTTCCTTTTTTACCAAAAATCGACTACACCAAAATTTCTCGGGATAACACTTTTTCTTATTAATTTGGGTGCGTAGAATCCAAATCAATTCGTACTTTTTCGATCAGACTTCTCAATCAAAAGTTATAGACTAGAAACCAATTACGAAAAAAAATTCAAAGGGCTGTAACTTTTGAACTAGTAGCCCAATCTTGAAACTGTTTGAAATTATGGATTCTACAGGCCACATTCTATAAGAAAAATTTTTCCCCGGGTCGATCTGAGACAATTTTTTTTTCGGGGCTCAAAAAAAGGCAGTGCATAACGAGGGGTGGATTGGTCGGGGGGGGGGGGGGCAGGTGGCGATTGTCACCTGGCGTGTAGATCATAATGGCCCGTTGGAAATTTATAAGTATGTGCTGTATTTAGTTTCTTGCACTATTAATAAACTATTAACACGTTTCTCTAATTGGGGTTGATGTTAGGTTGTTAAAAAATTCTGTTTTAATTGAAGTGTTTTACAATGAATTTATCATTTTTTGTCGTAGCATGAAAGTGCTGAAATACAATGATAGGCGACGCACCTCGTGTGGATTGTATATTTTGTTACTTTTAATTATCAGCTGCAATTTAAAAAAAAACTGTATGGTAATTGATTTTCTAGAAAGGAGTACTTTAAAATGTTTTTGTGGTGCACCTCAGAGCCCCCCCCCCCCCCCCCCCCCCTTCATTACTACACTATTACCTACTTTAATGGCCCGTACCCTATGCAATTCCACCTGGCCCGTAGTACCCAGTCCGTCCCTGTGCTTCAGGTCATAGCGTTGTTTAAAAGTAACGTAAGGAGGCCCTGCCTTAGATGTTTGATCACGTGCCACTTTTCAAATTTAAGCGGGATCTTGTTTAGTTTTGGAGGGAATAGTCATTGGGGTGGCTATTTTTAAACGTTGCCGGGTTGACTTTATTTCCGTACACATTGACGAGGAAAGGTTATGGGAGAGAAAAAAACAGATACGGGGCAACAAATAATTGTTTTTGGAGAAAATATGACGTTCCGGGAATCTTGAAATTCGTGACCTGATATTAATTGTTACACAATTTGAAATGTTTGGTGGATCTTTTGCTTTTATCGTCTTTGTTTGTATATTTGTGTGGGCTATGCCAGGGTTTTTGTCCTGAAGAAGTTTTCTTATCCTTCCTCTATTTCTTTGTGTGTTCAGCTTTGTTTGGTAATTGTGCGTTGGGTGGACAAAAAATAATACACAGAGACTGCATTTCATATGGGCCGCATCATTGCAGGCTAGACCAAAACCGTTTTAAGGTGTCGCGTTTAATATAGCACAAGAAAGATCACAATTCACACATATCTTAAACCTAGTCAGTCTTTCACATTACTTTAACTCTAATTGATTACCATTTTTGTACAAATTACTATCGTCCTGTTGCAGTTTATTGGAATGCACCGACGCGAGCGGATCATTTATCGATCGCTGTAGATTGGGCTTGCCCGTCGCTGTGTAATATCTGTAACAGTTAACAGTTGTAGAAAACCGACAGAGTCGGATTTGGATCACCTTTGCTTCAGCAACTCCCACGTGCTCCTCTTGAAGACGAAGACGAAAAATATAAACATTCCGTAGAGGCCGTTGCACAAGTCCGTAATGTACCAGACGTCCTCTGGTACGTCTTTCACCTGCCAGCGCACCACCGTCGATATCAGTTCCGTTGACCAATTAAGTCCCATTGCTAGCATTAACTTTAAAAAAAGATAATATCTGAAATCACGTGTGAATTACGTGGGCGCTTTTGTTGCAAATCTTACCTTTCCTTGTCTTTCTCCATGGAATGTCTTCTGCTATCGCTTGTGCTGAGCATAACCGTGGCCTTTTGGGCTTCTCGTATCTTAAACGCCGTTAAGCAAAACAGGATAATGTTCACCATGATCAGGATAGCGAGAGGGCCGTGAAAGAAGAGCAGCTCGGCGTACTGCCCCCTCAGCCTGAACCAGCACTGCCCGTCACCTATTCCCGGATTGTACCACGCGTCGAGCGGTATCGTGCTGTGAGTTAGACTCGTCACTATTATGACTAGGACCACCGGTACACCCCACGAGTATAGGCTGTACGCTATAAACCTCTTGCGCTCTTTCTCCTTTTTTGTGCCGGAAAATCCGCGCATCCCGCTGAAATGAAATGTATCAACCGCTTGATGATAAGATTGGCAACGTACCTGAACGTCCACCACATGTCGAACGACATCGCGTTCATGAAGAGGAACGACACCATGAAGAAGAAATAGCAGAGTATTCCTAACGCCTCGCACGTGTCGAATTCAATATCGTTCGGGTGAATCTGGGCGATGGCCAGGCACAGGTACGCGCAGAATAGCGTCAGGACGTAGCACATCAGGCATTTCCTGTGGAGGTTCCGTTCAGGTAACAGGGCGTATATCACAAATGTTAGGAGGAGAAATGGCATCGAGATGATCATACCTGAAAATTGAGTTGTTGGACCAATTAAATGGGCCACTTTGTATATATAATTTAATTCAAATATAATATTACGGAAGTCGCAACTCACAAAATAAATGACCCACCCTCGGCTACACCCCAATTCGTATCGCTTATGCAGTTGCGGTTAAACTCCAATAAATCATCCCCTGAAACTGATATCTGTTCTAGGTAAAAATGCTTGCTCCAAAAAAGTATATAACCCGCTGTTTATTTTCGTTCTGTTCCGAATTCCATTGTTATACGAGGACAGTGCGTCATATTCTTTAAAGGGATAGTGATAAATGTCTTTAATTATTAATGAGAGGAGATCGATAAGGCCGTTGGAATTCGAAGCAGCGAAGGTGTCACAAATGGTGCGAGTCGTGGAATCCGGCACCGAATAAAAGGAATCCAGTGAACTGGTTCGATAATGAATAGAAAGAGTTGACCGTCTTGATCAAGAAGGAGCAATTACGTTGCTGAACTGAAATTGCTCTTGCTGATGGCAGTAGCAGCAACCAGGAAAACTAGAGAGGGGCGAAGGGGGAAACGTCCTCGCAATAATCATGCCCCGCGTGCTACCTTTCGAGGTGCCTCTTTAAAACCCCTAAGAGGTTCCACCCTGTATATACAACTTACGACGATACATACATTTTTGAGAGTTGGCAACCATGCAATTTCTAGGTGGGGAAAAGCTGCCTGCGCCATCTAGAAAGCATGAACGGTTACGTTTGGCATCTCTGGTCTTGAATGGCGGTGGTGAACGCGTTGCTCCATAAATGTTTGTTGTTATTTAATGCAGGTAGTAATTTTTGCATTTCTTTATATAGCATTTGTGTTTTGTATGCCGCATTTGATATTTGTTGTGTGTTGCAATCTTTGTTTTTGAAATTTACTTGGTTTAACCGCAATGTAGAATCACATATGTGATACCGTTATACTATTGTTTGTAATTGTTTACGTTTTTGGTCTATTGCTTGCTTAATTTATGTTTATTGATGTTGATTACTTGGCCTCTCCGAAGTTGCAGTCATATGAATTTTGAGCATTTTATTTTAATATGTAGAAATTACCGATTCGTTTGATGTATGTACCTACTGACTTGTTGTTTGTAACTAACAATTTTCTCCGTGAATGAAGCAGTCACGGGGGTGGTAAAAACCTAATTCCGTGATTGTCTTCGTCATTCAACTGTAGGCTCGATACCCCGAACGAGGGGCGACGCTACCTATCTTGCGGGGGCGAGATTATGCTAATCAAAACTCTTCAGTTTAGAATCTTTGTGCGATAAATGAGTTACGATTTACTAATTTCCACATATTTTTTTGCCAGATAGTTGATTTTGCCTACAAGGCCATGCAGTTTTCCCTCTTGCTTCTAACAAAAGGACTTTATTGCACCAAATATGAGTCACATCCTGTACCCTTCATCTTTTCACAGAATTTAGGTACCTGCTTACCTGCCCCATCGTTCCATCATTTGTTTTTAACCTTGAGTGTAACCAAAATTGTGTATATGCATTTACTATCTTTGTGCTTAAACTTTTACCAATTTTACAAATTATTTTGTTAACTAACTCTTGGACTGTATTAATCAAACTGCGAGGTTTTTCTATGTCGTTTTTACCCTTAGCAGTTACTTTTTGCGAGAGTACGACACCTTTTGGCTTTGCTTATATTAATGTACAGGGTGGCCAAATAAGAATGCGAGGTACTATATCTGGGAACATGTCCATCGTAGAGGCTTGCGGTAAAAAAATTTATTACTAAAACGGCCACGAGCAAAACCTGGAAAAGTTTCTGCAATGGCCGCTAGGGGGCGTAACTGCAATCTGGAATCTAAGAAAGTGATTTTTCTGTGAATTCCGTTATATTAACCTAACAAAACGATAATATGATAATCTGAACCTTTTTTGTTTGACAATTTTTCCTGTATCTCTAAAAATGAAGTGGTGGGGTGTATTCAAAAGTTTCCGTAAAGAACACCCTGTATCTTCAAAACGACTGAGCCGATTTTAACAAACTCGGGTTAATTGAAAAGAGTTATTCTTCGGCTATTAATATAATATTTGAAGTTTTGTTAGTTTCACATATCGCCGCTTGAGGGCTTTTTTCGACATTCCGACAGAAATGGCTAAGCTTCTCAAAAAAATTAAATGCGTTGGTTTGATTTTTTTTCCTGAAAAAGTAGCTACATGATGCCTAAACAAGCTCGCGAAAACCGCAGCTCGGTATCTTGTTCCTAACCTAAAATTTAGGCCAAAGAAAATTTTATACCCTCAAAATTTTGTTTTTTTAAGCTAATTTTTTCGGATTTATTTTTATTATATAATTTGTGGCCCTAAAAAGGAAGCTTTTAATACCGCCGTAAATGCCCGAAATGCTGGCCATCACGATATATATACGCGAACTTGTTTAGACATCATTTAGATATTTTTTCATGAAAAAAAAATCGAATAATGCATTGAATTTTTTTGAGAAAATTAACCATTTCTGTCGGAATGTCGAAAAAAACCCTCAAGCGGCGATATGTGAAACTAACAAAACTTCAAATAGTATAATATTTGTAGCTGAAGAATAGCTCTTTTGAACTAACCCGAGTTTGTTTAAATCGGCTCAGCCGTTTCGAAGATACAGAGTGTTCTTTACGGAAACCTTTGAACCACCACCCCCCACCACTTCATTTTTAGAGATACAGGAAAAATTGTCAAACAAAAATTATTCAGATTATCGTCAACTTCAAAGACCGGACATTTTTTTGTTAAGTTAATATAGCGGAATTCACAGATCACTTTTTTAGATTCCAGATTGCAGTTACGCCCCATAGCGGCCATTTCAGAAAACTTAAAAATATTTTTCGTACTTCCGAGACTAAAGTGACCACTTCACTCCATTATGACAAGTACTGAAGTGTCACTTTTTGTCCCGCCGGGATTAAATTTTGACGAAAATCCCGGAAGGATGAAATTACTAACAAGGCAATTTCAGTAGGTTGTTCCACATTTTGTATGCGGCACTACTTCTTAAACCCATCGTACTGCTGTTCATACAGTTTTTTGGATTTCGGTGGTATCAATTCTTTACCTTTGGCTGCTTTTTATGAATATCAAATACACTTTTGTCACCCACCACCAAAATTATGACACTAGCAATGACAGTTTCCAAATTATTTTTGTTACCATAGCATAGAGATTGTCATACCAACGCAACGTTCCTATAGTAACTTGTTAAGCAGCGATTTTTTGAAAGAACGCGTTCTCTAACTCCATACATATTAAGTGTTTCAGTTTCAGAAGTACGAAAAATATCGTATATACCTTGCGACTGAAGTAGTGTTCTTAATCCCTCAGGTAAATTATGGCCCTCCCTTCGGTCGGGCCATAAACTTTACCTTCGGGATTAAAAGTACTACTTCAGTCCCGCGGTATATAATATACTATTACAGGTTTTGCTCGTGGCCGTTTTAGTCATAATTTTTTTTTACCGCAAGCCTCTACGATGGATAGATTCTTCCTCGCATTCTTAGTTGGCCACCCAGTACATCAACTAAATTTACGGATTTTGACATTCCTAACAATTGCGATAATTATTAAACAAACTTTTCACAATTTCAGTGTTTTATTTTACGTTCCTTCCCTACTATGCTTCAGGTCATAGCGTTGTTTACAACTAACGTACGGGGGCCCCGCCTTAGATGCATGATATTACTCCACAGAAGGGCGCATTTGAGCCTCAAAAAGAAGGGTTTTGGTTTTGCAATCCAGAGTATATACAGGGTGATTCAAAATTGAGTGCACAGATTTTAAGGGCCTATTAACCAGCCAAAAATAAGAATTTTTTTTCGTTTTCTAGATACAGGGTGTAAAAGTTTTAAAATAATCGGTTTTTTTTAATATAAAACTTTATTTAAACGAAATATTTAAAATTGTGTAACAAAGAAAACAATAATTACCTACAACAAAAAAATTTCGTCGAACAGTTTTTCAGTTGGGAGAGAGCTCAGGATACATGCGCTATTTCCACGTTTTTTTTATCAATTATTCAAAAACCTTTCAGCCGATTTAAATAAAATTGGATAGGCTTAATTGTCGACATAAGGGAATTCCTTTGGTGGGAATAAAATTAATTTATTAATTCCAGTGGTATCTCAGGGGGGGCTACCTACTTGATACTTATAGGTACAATTATGGTACGCCACCGCTTTTTTGCCAATTTAAATCTTTGCATTCAATTTTGAATCACCCTGTATTATACATTCGGGGTGTTTGATCCAGAAGAAGTCAGAAATCTGGTAAAGTGCGTATGGATTGGTGGCACTGATGGAGGATACACTGATTAGTTCGAGGGTGTGAATAGCAAACGCGTTATACCGTTCGGAAACCTCCGCAGCATTTTTCTTTCACCAAAATTTGAGAAGACAATCTTAAATCTACAGATCTCCAACTCCCCTGAATTGAGGTACATATTTTTGTGGAAAAAAAACTCGTGCAAAGAATCGAACGCGAACCCCCCGGTTGCGAGCTGAGTATCCTTGCCACAAGACCATTATAGCATCGTGACATTCCAAAATAGTGGTGGGGAAGGGCCAACTTTCGGATGCATGCGGACGCGTCTGCCGTTTAAAAATATCCAGGGGCATATAATCACGAGAGAGAGAGTGCGCAGGATGAATGGACGAGCTGTGGACGAAACGGCTTATTCCAGTGCTTACGGCACAAGAGATGAATTGTCACATCACGCAGTTTCTGATAGGACATTGGGGGAAAACGAGGAGACCTACACCCACGCTATTCAGATTGTATAAAACGCGATGGGAAAGAGCATGCCGATTTCGAGTGGTGCGAGAAGCTCAAATGGAGGCTGCCATTGCGGACTGGGCATGTACTGAGAGCCGAAAATATAATTACCATGGCGATAGGTGGAATAAACGTGGAGATGGGTTCTATACAGTGCTATTTATTAATACAGACATTGGGATTAATATGGTTTTTCCCTATGTCTACTTTTAAATGACAAAATATCTTCTGAAGGGCGCCTAATTATATGCAACCAAAATAACTTCTTAAAGCAGATAGAGATCTGGCTGTCATGTTAATTAATTTGAATATTGTTGCTCTGGATTCACAGAAAATAAAAATACGGAAGCCAAAGCAACAATATTCAAATTAATTAATATGACAATTTGTTTTAACAAGTTATTTTGGTTGCATAAAATTAGGCGCCTTTCAGAAGAGATTTTGTCATTTAAAAGTAGACATAGGTGGGAAACAATACACGTAAATCGCTTTGTTTACTTTTTAATAAATAGCACTGTATATTAGGCTGGACTAGGGATTAGGAGAAAGGTGTTAGTAATCGATAGACAGACCCAAAAATAAATGATGTCATGAAGCCTGGGACTACCACATTTTTTAACGTCTTTGTCATCTAATTTATGATAGGTAATCCCTAGGGACTCAATTTGTGCTTATTTCCTAAATTTTGTTTGGGTTGTTGATTTGGGTGATCAAAATTATATTCCAGTTTATCCAGCTTATGAATAAAACGTGCTCAAATCTTCGAATGAACCTCAACTTCCTCATAGCGATATATGCAGTACCTATTTATAGAAGGTTTACTTACTAATTGCATTCTATCATCATTGCACAAGCTGTAATTAGCTTTGATTATGATATAATTATTTAATGTACTTAGTCATTAATACAAATATGTAATTTAGATTCCGTTTGAAGGTACCATGACTGATTGCAGAATTGGTAAACAAAACCGCACCTTCAAAATAATGATTTTAGGTGGGATAGTGGACGGAAGTCAAAGTTACCACGATAACCGCGCGATTTCTAAGACAATCGGAGACTTTGCGCAAGGTCCACTAACCAAATTACGCTGATTGTTTATAATTATAAATCAAGGCAACCACAAATAAGTGTCATGTGTGTGAATCACATTATTTTCCTTGGAATGGAAAATATGTACGGACTACCGCACGGGATACCTAATTAATTACAAATGCAAATGACGCAAATATCGAGGCACTTTCGAAATTCTCTCCAAAACCACTTACCCACAACATTCGAACTTGAAATGTTCGCATTACGGTACGCGCACACCAGGGCTTGAATCCTATCGAATTGCTCGATGTAATCGACACAATAGTCGCGTAATTTATAAACGGCCCCATCAAACGGGGTCCGCAATCTTCCGGTCGTGGTGATCGTAAAATAGTCCTCCTCAAAGACGGGATCGAGCAGGCTCCTTCTCTTGTCATGTTTGCACTCGTTCCCGAAAACCAACTGGTACCCGCTCAATCCGGGCCTCATCTCGTTGGGAATCACGAAGGGCTTCCCGCTTAAGACGCACGTCCTATTCAACATGTACTGCCCCATCGGGCAGCACTTTCGCACGCAAACGTTTATGTCACAGAAACATCCCCTTTTGAGACCCTCCGTGTTTTGAACGTCCTTCGCCGCGTACAGAATGCCATTTTTGACCACGACCTCATCGTCGATTCCCAGTCGATCTCCAAGCTCCACGTCCGAATCGAAATCGCAATTATTGGCCGCAAAGCAATTAACTACACAGAGGATAAGCGGAACTACGAAATGCGATAAACGAGACGAAGTTCGTGACATTTTAACAACGTAAAAACATCATTAATACTGAAAGCAAAACTTGTTGTGGTCTCCCACTTTTTTCTCTCATTAGCCGGGAAATACACGGTTTTGTGCGGTTCTCTTTTACAGACACTGCGTCGTGACGTGATAGACAATAACTCCGAATTCTGAAAATTGCAATTAGCATAATGGCACAATCGAGACACGTGAAGGCCGTCCGTGTTTTTCTGCCTTTTTCGAATAACAGTTCCGTGGTGGAAAAGTGGGCCACTTCGGGTTGTTGAACTAATGAAAGGGAGTTTAATTTTTATTCTGCTCTCGGCACCTGCTTCGCAATTGCAAAGGTGACCGCAGGCGTTCTTGGTAGGAATAAATCTCAATTGGTTCAGTTGAAAAAATAAGTATTCTTGGTACGCAAGATGTTGGAACGCTTCTACTCCTTCAATTCGAGTTTTCCATGTTGCCTGGCCCCTTTTTCCCGTCACTTTCGGTCTCACTGACTCGTGTTCCTCTATGGCTCCTTCGTTTGCACTCTTCCTTGAAGCGCACCCTCATCACTTTTCCCTCATACTGATCATTTCATTCAATATGAGTGGAAAATACGACATTCCGGAACAATATCATTGTCGACTGTCGTCCTTTCTTAAGGACGTCCCGAAAAAATTACACGCTGCTCATCCTTATTTGAATTTTTAAAAGAGCCCGGATAACAATCGTGCCTTAGATCAGTGTTTCTGAACGGGGGCCATGACGTTTTTCTTTTAGGGGCCACGAACGAAAGAGACAATATTGGTAAGCCACGGAAACTTTTCAGTGGGCCACGAAAATTCACTTCTACAATATTTTACTGAAATATTAAAATTAAATAAATTTACCAAACATGGTCAGTACGAAAATTATACCACAATAACCCTGAGAGGTTCCAACCTGAATATACAACTTACGAGGCCGATACATACATTTTTAAGAGTTGGCAACGATGGAATTTCTAGGTGGGAAAAAGGTGCCTGCGCCATCTAGAAAGCACGAACGGGAGTTACGTTTAGCATCTGGTCTTGAATGGCGGTCATGAACGCGTCGCTCCATAAATGTTTGTTGTTATTTTTGTTGTTTAATGCAGGTAGTAATTTTTGTATTTCTTTGTATCGTATTTGTGTTTTGTATGCCGCATTTTTGTGTGTTTCAATCTTTGTTTTTCAAATTTACTTGGTTTAACCGCAATGCAGAATCACATGTGTGATACCATTATACTATTGTTTGTAATTGTTTACGTTTTTGGTGTAATGCTTACTTATTTTATGTTTATTTATGTTGATTACTTGGTCTTGTCCCTGAAGTAACATTCATATATAAGTTTTGATCATTTTATTTTAATATTTGGAAATTACCGATTCGTTTGATGTATATACTGACTTGTTGTTTGTTACTAACAATTTTCTCCGTGAATGAAGCAGCCACGGGGGTGGTATAAACTGTCATCTACGAAACCAGGGGCGGGCTACCCATCTGGCAGGAGTGGGATTACGCTTATCAAAGCTCTTCAGTTTAGAATCTATGTGAGTGGCGATTCAGTAATTTCCACATATCTTGTTTTTAGTTAAATTTGCCTACAAGGCCATGTAATTTTCCATCTTGCTTTTAACAACCGTTTCTCAGAATTTAGGTACCTGCTCCTACCTGACCCATTGTTCCCAAAAACTTGCTTTTAACCTTACCAGCATTGTGAATATGCATTTACTATCTTTGTTAACTACTGCTTAAACTTTTACAAAATATTTTGTTAATTAACTTTTGGACTGTATTAATCAAACTGCGAGGTTTTTCATACGTCGTACCCTTTTTACCATTAGCAGTTACGAAAGAAAGTACGACACCTTTTGGCTTTGCTTGCTTTGTTTATATTAATGTACATCAACTAAATTTCCGGGCTTTCACAATCTTAATAATTGCGATCATTATTAAACTAACTTTTCACAATTTGAGTGTTTTATTTTACGTTCCTTCCCTACTGTGCTTCAGGTCAAAGCGTTGTCTACAACAACAACTAACGTAAGGGGCACAGAACAGTAATATCTGTGGTAAGGGGGTCATGCCTTAGATGATTTATTGGAGGGAATAGTCATTCGGGTGGCCATTTTATTAAACGTTGTTGGATTGACTTTATTTCCGCGTTCTTGTAGTGTGAAGTTAGCGTAGAACCTGGGGGTTAAGTATACTTAAATAAGTGTATACACTACACCCCTAATCCTTGTTTGTATTATCTCCAGTGTACCTTTCCTAGACACCAATAAATGCAACATTTAATGGTCTATATATTCTATACATTTTTGTGCAGTACGAGAAAGATGTAAATGAGTCTAAAAATACCTATAAAGCTACTAAAATTTCAAAAATGTCTCAAGGGTTGACCCCCCCCCCCCCCGCTCTCCAGGGAGATTCCATACCCCCCGATATAACACGGCGGTGGGCCATAGAGATAAATACCATTCACAAGTAGGCCACCAGTAAAAACAAGTATAAATTGTGCACAACTCTTGTACCTACAGATAAAGCCTAGGATAAAGCGCATTTTGTTAACCGAAATAGCTTTTGTTTTGCCATCACCAATGGATATATTTCTTGCCAACGTGTCAATCACTCTTTGTGAGTACCCTCTTACGACAATCCGTTCTTGAGGTACAAGGGAATATACCCGATCACGATAAAGAGGTCGAAGAGGAGGGGTATGGTTAGTAGAAATTAATTCCTTTCATTAGAACAGGTGTTTAACCCCCCCCCCCTTTTTATGGCACTACTAAAGGCATGCGTATGCAAAATCTGAGACCAATTGGTTATCGTATGTAAAAGTTATCCACGTTTTACTTTCAAAAACAGCATCTCAGGAAATAATTCGTGGGGAGGGGGGCCCTTTTAGACAGCGAAATTTAATGGCCGTCTGGCACACCTTCAAGGATACCTACTGCAAAAAAATTCCAGGACTCTAGGACTAATCTCCTGGAAGTAGTTCGAAACGTCAGAAGTGGGTCCGGACGGACGGACAAAACGCAAACAATAGCACATTTTTTTAATTCTTAAAAATGCGCTAAAAAAGGTTAAGAAACACTGTCTTAGATGACCCTCTTTGAAAACGTCCTGGAAAGGTTGCGCAATAATTACTCCATTGTCTTTTTTCCGTATGCTCTGAGACGGTGACTTTACCTTTAAGTCTTATTGACGTGATCTGTGCGTATGAACGGAATGAAACCGGCGTAGTTTGAAGAGGAGGTCAAATTTTTCGAAATCGGTTTCTGAAAGCAGAGGCCATCAAAATCCTTGAGAGTTAATTCCCCCCTAAAATGTTCATCTTTGCTTGCTGCCCCCGCCACGTTGAAGAGGATGGTACCTAATCTTCATATCCCCATATCTTACATCTTCTGTCCTCTTTCTCCTTAATTTATTTTTCTCACTTTCTCGTTTGTTCTTCGTCTACTTTTTCCAATGTTTTCCTCTCTCTTCATTATACCTCAATCAGCATATCTTTCATCTTTTCTATCTCTTCTTTTGTCTTTTCTATACTATTTATTTTCTTCTTTACGCCATCGCCGGCCGTAACTTTTTCTATATATAGGTACCTAGTGGTTTTTTTTCCGTTCTTTTTCATTGTCTGGCCCCATGTAGTTCTCCCTCTTTCACATTACAAACCTGCCAATTTTATTGATTTCCTTGGTCCAGAATTTCAAAATATGTAACAATACGCAAGTTTCATTGTTAATAAGTAGCAGGCTGAATGTTTTTTTTATTTAACCGAGAAAAATCATGTCGTTAAAGTCACGTGGCATCGTGGTATCACTGGCTCTCCCAACTTTTCAAAAAATCGATTCATTTTCACTGTAGGTACCTACCACTGTCAAAAGCTGTTGTCAATTACATACTTCTCCCTCATACAACCGCAGTTTACCTTGGCATTCAATACTCTAAAATTGCATCGCAAAAGGTAAACCTTTTCGTGTAACACTTTCTCTAGGTACCGAGGGTGTTTATCGAACGATATCGCTAGCCACTTCCGAGGAAAAAATTGCATTTCATATCATATCAATTTGACTTACTTCTTACGAGAATTGAAACGTTGATAATTTTCAAACTAGAAATACTCAATAAGTGAAACAAATGGATGATAGCAAAAGATAGCATTTTGGAATTCGGAAAGAAGAGGCTTGGATCTTGACAAAAAGAATGATTTTCCATACCCTTCCACTCAGATCTTCTAATCAAGGCGTTCTAGGTGGGGTACTCACAAAGGGAAGTGGGAGGTCTGGATGTTGCAATTTATCCGTGCCAAAACCTTAAGTACAAGTCGATGGTGGAGGTGGGTGGTATTCATAAAGAGGAAACGGGGAATGCCATTGGGGCAAAAACGTCAAGATTTAAAGGATTTTAAGGACTTTCTTTTAATGGTTTGAAAGGCTAAATAACGTCTTTAAATGCTACTAGAAAACCACTGGAGCTTGAGGACATTGAGACCCACTTTTAGAGACTTACCGTCTCAGGGCCCGATAAGAAGGCCGGTCCTCTTTCACCATTATAAGGTCTACTGGTCCACAATGGTACCATACGCCAGCCGAGGGAATCTAGACTGAGGCTCAGTGATGTCCATCTCCCCCCCATGTAGATTCGTCGTGCACCCACAACTTTAGGGCTTTTTCTTAGGCCGCCCTCGATTTCCTCCCTCCGATCTGACGTCGGGTTGCTCCCCTAAGCCAACGACCGACTTATTGGCGAGAGTGATGGAAACATGGCAACGTTGGTACGCTACCATTGTACTTTAGATTTACTTCGTGAAAACTCGTAATCGGAGTGCGAGTTGTTCCGAATCGTATTTGAATCATCTCGATCTCGAGTCTCGAGTGAGCGGTAATCACTTAATCAGTGTATAGGCGTTGGTGCATGCATAGGAGGTCATATTTGTTGTTATCTTCACTTAATGTTATTTATAACCTTCAATCGATAATTTGATTGCATTGTTTGTTTGACGAATTTGTATCTAGCAACAAAAGGGTAAGTGTTTAAATGCCTGCTTCCTTTGCTTTGAAAAAAAAGAATCAACTGATTAAGTTGCAAGCGCAGCTTTCGTTAATGCTGCAAATACCCATGTTTATTGTAAAATGCAAGGTCAACAGGAAAATTGTTTATATACGCGGGCAATTACTGGGACTACATAAGCCTTGCAACAATAATGGTTTCATTTGTGGGAGAGGGTAAGGGGTTAACATATTACCCTCTCTATACGTCACCACCAATAAGTAAATTATTTGTTATCTTTAGAATTTTTAATGTCTTCCTCCTCTCCTATAAGTTTGTTTATATCCGATCTGGGTATCGCCCGCGTTATCGCCTTCTCGTCCCTCACAATCGAATACTTTGTTGTCTCAAGAAATCCTCGGGTAAACAGAATTTTAAATTAAAGTAGTTTTAGGCTCATTCTTTTAGTTTACATAAGAATTTAATTTTACATTGTTGCAGTTTTTTATTTGACATTATTGGAGTGTTGTGAAATTGCATTGTTGTACTTTTTCTATTCATTTTCCAGTGCCGTATTGTTAAACTAGTCCAGTCAAATCTATCATTCTATCCCTTTTCCCCATCGCCTTCAAATTAAATTTCCCAGATGTTCTTGCACTGAACCTTGATGCACCTATGTACAGTAGGTATGTTCAATATAAGAATGAACAGATCCATGGGGAAAACCTAAACCAAAAGGATAAACTTTCGGAAATTCCGATCAATTTCGAAGATATTCGAAAACATCAGAAAAAATAAAAACGAATATCGTTAATTTCGGTTTTTTCGAATATCTTCGGAACTGATCGGAATTTTCGAATTTTTAAAACACCTTTTTACTCAGCCCTAATATACGCTACAATTTTCTAGTTTAATTGACTGTGTATTTCTTATGGTTTCCGACTTCTACATGCTGTTCATTAACTTATCTTGGACACACTGTACGTATACTCGCCTCTATACATAATTAGTGAGTACTAACGAGCTCAAACATTATTTAATGATCATCTGCAAATGATGTGGTACAAAAGCAAGCAATTCATATTGATGTAATTAACGCATATAGTCATCTGTCTCTCCGATAAGATAAATTGTAATGGAGCCTTGAAAGAAGACTGGGAACATTCTTTAAGGTTCAAAGGTATATTGTTGTATAGTCATTGTCTGTTTGATATGAAAAGGCCCTTTCATTACCAGTTTTTTTTATACATTACGGTGACGTAATAATACCTTAATTATGTTGTTCGATTATGGAGAACGATTTTTAAAAACAACTTTTAATTTTTTACAACGTTACAATGAGAATCCGGACTGAGCATGACTGACTACTATAATGAAAAGTAAATATAATTATAAGTTTCCTTATCGAAGGAATGTGCTGATGTCGTGTAAAGGCCACCATATAACTCCCTTGAACCAAATTAATAAAACCATTGGGACTTTTAATCGATTTACCAATGGATATCCTTTACATAGGCCGGGATTTGCCTTCCAACATTCGGACTAAAAACAATTCCCTACTATACCATCAACCAGACGTCCCAGGGTCTGTGAAGTTAGCAGAACATTGAAGGCACAAATGTCGAGACTAGGTGGGTTGGTTAGTGCTTCGTTTGTGCCGTAAAAAGTTTGCCAGCAAAACATATACCGTTTGAAAATTATTTCGATTTTTAGAGGTTCTGCTAATAGGCCAGTCATTGAGGATTTTTACCTGGAAATAACTCGGGAAGTACAGAAATTTTGTATGTTTGAGTGCGTAGACCTAAAATTCATAAAATGTACAATTCTAAACTTGCCGCCGGGGCCGCCATCCTTAATCCAGCAAGCTAAATCTCTTGAGCACCATAATAATTTTACTGTACGGTTCTGAATTTAATTTAGCAAATTTGTCCTATATATTTTATTTCTCTGATTTGCCCCACGTTTCGGGCGCCAAATAAATAATGCTGTGTGCACTGTGGCTGGCCCTAGGCAGGTCAAATGGGGGCAAAGCTGCTCTTTTTTGCTACTAAACAAATTTTATTAAAATCTTTTAAAATAACCCAGATATCGCCGAAAAACGGAAATTGTCAAATTTCATTTTGATTTTCTCTAGCTTAAACGGTCGGAAATGGACGATTCTCGTTAGCACCTTTTGTGGGCAGTTTTTTTCGGAAAATCTTAATCTGTTACCAGAATTTTCGTAGCACGCTAGATGTAGAAGCTACAGGCTACTATCTTGTTATGGGCGCCATATTCGATTTTTACGGAATGAGAGTCTAGTGTGACAGACAGGTATTTATTTTTCTTTTTTTTTCATTCCGTAAAAATCCAATACGGCGCCCATAAGAAATAAGAAGGTAATAATAGCCTGTAGCCATCTAGCGTTCTATGTAAATTGTGATCACAAAGAGTCGTTAAATCCCAACAAGTTAAAAAGTAATCGTAAACGATTTAAAAAAAAGCGCATTTCCACTTACATTCCTTTCCCATTTGTAAGATGCAACTTCTGTTAAAATCGTAAAAATCCGGCCACAATAATGAAAGATTCAATCCATTTTTGACGTACTTACTACTTCAATTTCAGTTTATAAGAAGAATTTCATTTCAATGCTTTTCTAAATAAGAAAGTTGGAACTGCGCATGCGCAAATCTAAATTTTGAAACTAACGTTAGATTTTCCTTTGTTCCAAGCGCCTATGTATCAAATTTCATTTAAATGCTTCCATAAATAAAAAAGTTGACAGCGCATGCGCAAAACCAAATTTTGAAACTGGCGTTTGATTTTCCTTTATTCCAAGTGCCTATGTATCAATTTTCGTTTAAATTCTTCCATAAATAAAAAAAGTTGGCACTGCGCATGCGCAAAACCAAATTTTGAAACTGGAGTTAGATTTTCATTTATTCCAAGTGCCTATATATCAAATTTCATTCAAATACTTTTATAAATAAAAAAGTTTGCAATTCGATTTATAAATGGTCGAGATGCGAAAAGGGCAGTGTGAATTTTGAATCTATTCGACTCAACTTTTGGCATTGCGCATTATATGACTAAAGCATGCTCATATTGAATTTCATGCAATTCAGTTCATAACTAACGGAGATGTCAAAGCGATCGGACATATCGTTCATACGGACAGATAGCGGGACAGACCAACAGGGGGACGACAGACAGCAATACAAAATTATAAGGATCGTTAATAAACGGCAAAAGTGTAAAATTATGGAACATGTAAAAAACGGTTTGTTGGTTTTTTTACAATAACTTTTTTAGCAATAAGCGCAGAAAAAATTCCTTCCTTGGTGCAAGCCTCGACACCATAACGAACCAAATAGCGAAAAAAGTAGAACAATAGCTCTTAAGATAAAGAACTAGTAGCATCTCAACGAACGAGCGGATGGACGGACGGACAAAGTGGTCACAATAGCGCATTTATTTTTTATTTTTGTAGAAACGCGGTAAAAAGACACAAAACCTTCCTTGTCTTTTTGGGATTTAGCGACTCCAATATACCTACACAACCCCATTTTGAGTTTCATCACACCATGGATATCTGCGATTCTGATTACAAATTAAGATTCTCCGAAAAAAAGTGCCCATAGAAAGGATAAGGTGCTAACGGAAACCGTCCATTTCTCACCGTTTAAGCTAGGGAAAATAAAAACAAAATTTGATGTTTTTAGTTTTTCACAAAAACTGGCAACTTCGCATCCATTTAACCTACGCTGTACCTCTCACCGTTCCGGAGATCCCAATGGTGCGCCACGAATCTGAACCACCCTGTTCAGACTTGCAAATATATTTCTAATCCAATTAATTAATCTAAATTGAAAGGAATTTACCTTGTAGTGCAGTATTCCGGTGGCGAGGTCGCACTTTGTGTAAATTTTTAGCCATTATACAAACAAATTGCACATTTCCTTTACTAAGTAAGTTGCACGCTTCTACATCTTTCCTCATATCTTTGACTACCTCACAAACGCTTTCTTTATAAGTTAAATATCGATTCCTTAAGAACAGCATCAAATAATTCGGCATGCTAGAAACGTAACTTTTTCTCACTCTTAAAAATTGAGGAATTTATTGATAGCTATTGTCCAACATTGTTTTCGTTCTCAGATTCAGCTTTAAATTTAGCAGTTTAATCAATATCTTATCTGAAGTCTCATTGTGAAAATTGGCTGTATACGTATTGAGTTAGGTGACTAAGAATGTATTTTGGAATCATCTTTTTTAATTTCATGCGTATTTATATTGCACCATTGACTAATGGGGGTATTAGTCAATGATTGTACTGTACGATCAAAAATGAGTTGCTGTCGAGTCACCTTTGGAACTTTTGTTTACATGGGAAATTGTATTTAACTTGAACTTCCAAAGGCGACTCGACAGCAACTCATTTTTGATCGCCCGTTACCTATACTGTACCTACATTTAAATTGAGGGAATGTGGTACACCGCAAACTGCACTGTAATTACAGTTTAGTTTGGGTTTGATTCAGGGCCGGACTGGGTGTGTAAGGGCCCCGGGCGCTCCATGACCAAAAGGCCCCCAAACTCATGGACCCCCCCCCCCCCCCCCAAGAAGACAAGGGATTTTCACATTTTTTTAATTGTGTTTCATACAACTTGCTGAACAGTATTGAACATTAAATTAAAGGAGAAGGCGCTGTAATTCCAATGACGTATTGGCAAATTTATCAATTAATTTATTTTAGCGGGGCCCCGCGACGGAGGCTCCGCTTCGCGGTTCCACGAGGGCCCCGGCCGCTCGAGCGGCCTGGGCCAGTCCGGCCCTGGTTTGATTCCGATTTTTAGTACAACTTTAAAACACACCTCGATAGCTTTGTGTCCATGAACCACTATCTGTCGAAAATTGATAAGCGATAAGGATTGTTTATATAAAGTTGAATAATGGCGTATTGAGTCACACCTGTTCTGACTCAAAAAATAGATCAGTACATTGATAAATAATTATACCTTTGCCATACTTTAATTTTGTATCAAGTCATGATCGTTGAAAAAATGTACCTGACGTGGCAAAAGGCAACATGGCAGTTGTCAATATCTCTTATTTATTTACTATCACTCTCATAGCAACACATGGATCATGGATCACTGACTTGTACGTGGAAAGTATCATTCAGCACGGCAATACATTGTTGGATCATCCCTCCTAGGTCATTATTATTATTATTATTATTATCCCTCTCTTGTTTTGGGCCCTCAACAGGCATGCGCCCAATTACAGAGTGACCCGCATAATGCTATTTTATCTATGTGAAGCGTCATCATCAACGTTGTCTTGAAGCTCAGCGAAGAAACTGGGATCATTTTCACTTTGATTAAGGTCGCATTTACTCAAAAAATTGGTGAAGGTCTGTTTCCAGCATCTACGCCCTACGGCAATGATGGAAATTAATACGGTATTTAAAACAAGCAAACATACAAAAGCAAAAGATCTCGATACGTTACGGTGGTAAAAGCAAATTCAAAATTTCGGTACTTACAACACTTGACGGTGAAAAAATGCGGCAATTATAAACTGCAAAAGATCCTTCCAAAATTGAGCGTTTACCTTATAAAGAAAGCCCAATTTGGTGGAATTGGAAAATTCCAACTCGTCACGATTCACTCGAAAGCGATGCAAATTAATTCGGTTTTTAATTTATTACTTGGCCTGCAATTATCGGAAAAATATAAGATGGACACCGTACTTCTCGTTTTTTAAGCGCGCTCATTTTGATATATAACTCTGGACGCCGTCTGCCGATTTTTTTCTACAACTCATTAAAACGTCAATTAGGCGCGGTTATATACTTTAATACTCATCAATCCAATTAATACCTACTGTTAATTGGAATTTTCCGGCGCAACAGCTGTTGCCCCGGAATGATAAATTCATTACAAAACATAGCGGCGGTAAAATTAACAATTCCACAAAAATGTAAACACAGACAACTCACTCCTCGAGCAAATAATAAATACGGAATTCTTTCGTAACGAAGCGCTTCTCGATACCGAGTATTCAGCAAAGCTGGTCGACTTCACATGCTCATAACTTAGGGGAGGAAAACGGGTGCTTCGTTACATCTGAGCTGTAAATTCAAGTTTTTTTGAAGGCTCCTTCTCCTTATCATACGATCCGCTATTTTGACTTGAAATTTCCAATCAACCCATAGTTGGAATGGTCCCTAAAATGTATCTATCTTGTGAAACTTCCATGATAAATAGCCTAGATGATAGGACTTCAGTAAACCTACGCACACGACACGTTCTAACAAAAATAAATTCGCGCAATACCGGGCCCATAACCTGATGTGTAATTAATGATAAAAAGAAATGTAATTTATAACTATAACATATTAGCATATAACGCATACATCTAGTTACAGATTTAGAATGAGTCGCAGAAGAAAGAGCGAAGTGGACAGCGAGAGTGAAAGCGATGTTGAGTATCTATCCAAAAAGTTGCAAACGTTGAAAGTGGCTACTGAGAAACGCGACATTAACGTATTGCTGTTGGGAGAAACCGGAGTGGGAAAATCCACTTTTATAAACGCCTTCTTTAACTATCTCACTTATCCCACCCTAAAGCAAGCAAGAAAGGGCAATCTTGTTACACTAATTCCAGCAAAATTCACAATCGCCGACGAGAATTACGAAGAACGCATCATTCAAGTTGGAGAAGACAACAATGAGCTGATCGAAGTTGGAGTTTCCGCCACCCAGTCTTGTAGATCTTACGTCTACCCGATTCAAGGCGGCAAGTTTAGGATACGATTAATTGACACGCCCGGCATTGGAGACACTCGTGGAATAAATCAGGATAATATCAATTTCGAAAATATTCTCTCGTTCATAGGCGAAATGCAGCAGCTGAACGCAATCTGCATTTTGTTGAAACCGAACAATTCACGGTTGACTGTCATGTTCGAATTTTGTATCAAACAGCTTCTGTCGAGATTAGAAAAGAGCGCAAGTAGGAATCTAATTTTTATATTCACTAATACGAGAAGCACGTTTTATCGGCCCGGAGAAACATTGCCGGCACTTAAAAAACTGCTTGGTGCCATCGACGGAGTGCACATTCCTCTGCACAAAGAAAATATCTTCTGCACTGATAATGAAGCTTTTCGGTTTTTAGCAGCCGTCAATAATGGCGTTCGTTTCTCTTCAATTGATGTGGATAACTTTGCCCAGAGCTGGAAGAAATCCGTTCAAGAATGTTGGAGGTAATTGCAGTATTACCTTTATTGGTGTAAATTATTTATTGTAATTTCAGAATGCTTACGTATATCACTGGAGATTCAAATAACGTTGCCTTGGTACCTCATGAAGTTAAAAATACAATTTCTGTCAATGAGGCTCGCCGTTTAATCGTTCAGTTGTCACAACCTCTAGCCGATATCGCGCAACTGATTCTGGACAACATTCAATGCTTGGAAAGACACAAACAAAACTTGCATCAAAGCAATAACTCGCTAACCGAACTTAAAACAAAACTGTATATACCGACGATCAACTTACGGGTTATAGAGATGGCCGAACCTACTACAGTGTGCACAAGTCCCAAGTGTAGCACCTTGTATAAGGTAAGATTACTTGATTACTTGCCGCTTCTCCAGGAATTTAGTCAACTGTCGTGGGGATATGTCCCTGGTTAGGGATGGGCGATTACAGGTTTGAATAATCGATTATTAAAAATAATAATAATCGATTATTTTTAATAATTGATTTATGGATCAAACGAACTTACCTTAAGTGAAGTTCGATCCAAATTATGAGTTGCTCTCGTTGAAATAAATATAAGTGTAGTACTCCCTATTCTACGCATCTAAAGCACAACGTCTTAAAGACAAAAAATCACGTACTCCACCTCGCACGCCGCCAGCCAGGGGCGAACCCGTAAATCGTCATTCATTCAAAGCTGATGTTGTTGTCACTTGGGCTCGGGATGGGTGGGACATATTTATTTCAACGAGAGCAACTCATAATTTGGATCGAACTTCACTTAAGGTAAGTTCGTTTGATCCATAAATTATAAGTTGCTCTCGTCTCATAAATATAAGTGTAGATCTTGAAAGAAGCAACAACATCTAATCAAAGTATCATAACTTCATCAAAACCTATTAGGTTACTAAAAGTGCCTAAATTAGAATTGAGCGTTCTAAAGAAATCAATACACTGAACAAAAATTTCGGTGCTTCACTATTAATTAAAGAGGACTGCACTAGCAAGTCCTGTAATTTGTCAAAGGGTCTAAGTCTTTTATAAAATCGAGCAAACGTCTGTGACTTTGCCGACCAACTAGCAATAGTTATAGAAGCTGAAGCATGCCGAGTATTGTGTGCAGCAAACAAAATAGTATCCATCCCACTAGATTTTAAGACATCTTAATCCACCTGCTAATTGACTGACTCGACACCTTCTGAAGGGATCTCTTGTGGGCTATAAAAAAAAAACTTTGACCAGAACGGGCCCTAACGAGTCTGGTCTTATCCAAGTATTTTAAATGGTAGAGGTCACACAAATCAATTCTTAAAAAATGGAAAAACGCAGCACCGGTTGATAACGATTTCTGCCAGAGGTCTTAATCCTTAAGGGAATCTTGATTTCAATCTTGTTTTCTAAAATCGTTATGTCCTCAACCAGAATGTTAGAAAGCGTTTGCACATATTCAGTTGCTAAATTCAAAAATCTCTTAATAGGCCTGCTTTCACTACGTCAAAATTTCAAATATGACCCAGGGCAGGCCGATCTGAATTGAGGGTTCTAAAGGAGACCCCTCAATCAACTCGCAGGCAAGACATACTCTAAAACATGGCTGGGAGAACTATTAAAAACATCTAGCCCATTATTTAAACAAAAAATCCACCAACGTTTCAAGCCACTATCGTATTGTTTTAGTGTGCTCGAAATAGATTTTACTCGTATAAAAATATCCACAGCTGCCAAGGGAACATCTTTCCGCTTTAAGGCTTCCCTGACAAGATTCCTACCACCAGAGAAATCCGTCTTGGTAATGGGTGTGGTCGCTTATCAAAAGAGAAAAGCCTGCTGTTAGGTTTAAGTACCTGCTATTGATGGGCTGTCTAACATACATTTAAACAATGGAAACCATGGTCGAGTTTGCCAAAGAGGCACACTATAATTCCCTTAGCTTTATCGGCATCCTATTTAGGATTTTTAAAATTAGGGCAAATAAGGAGAAGGTCAGCCCAGCTTACAGTGAAAGAATTTACTTCGCTGGCTTCCGGATCTCTAAACGAAGATATAAATCTATCACATTCCTATTTAGGAGTTTTAAAATTAGGGCAAAGAAGGTCAGTCCAGCTTACAGTGAAAGAATTTACTTCGCTGGCTTCCGGATCTCCAAACGAAGATATAAATCTATCACATTTTTTGTTTAACCTATTAAATCAATGACCGTGTCACGAAACGTGTGTGAGACCGATTTGTCCAAATGCAAGGTTTCAGTTTCTATTGACAGGACTCTGCGCGATTCTCGATCAGTATCTATGTGTTCAACCGACCTTATATAATGTGCAAAAAGAAAGATGTTTCTATTCTTGCGCAGCTGCCCAAATCTCTTTAGTTACAATATTAAGTTTTGGAAATCGAACACTGCCCATCTTATTAATACAAGCAATTGCTGTGGTATTGTCTATATGCGACATACAATGTGCTTGTTTTTAATATTCCTTGCAAAACATTTTGGGCTAAAGACAGCAACCTGTAATTTAAAAAGGTGTATATGGTAGGACTGCTATGGAACTGACCAATGGCCTGTGTTTGAAGCATCTGAACAAACTTCCAAGTAAAATTGTAATTTCTCTAAGGAATTTGAGGGAGTCTGATATTTCTCCAACAGGGCGCTACGCCTCTCTGTAAAAATTCCCTTTTTTAAAATCCAATCTCATCTAAGGTGATGGCGGAGTCCACTGCTGGATAAACCTTATGTAACGGAAGGTCACCTTCTCCTAAGAGGGAGAGGATTTCTGCCCTGTTCCGCTGAACAAGAACGGCGGGGACTTCGCGTTTCCTGAATTTGATCAACTTTTCAACCACCACTAAAATTCCTTTAGACTAGAGGGAATCTCCATGATTGTGTCATAATTTTCTCCATGAGAATTTAAAGCAGTTTTACTCTTTCAAAACTCCTGAAGCCAACCAAATTCCATGGTAGGGTTTATGGGAACCATCTTTCCTACCAGCGTAGCAAAATCGTGTATTTTGCAAACTTTTAGGACACAACAATTTTGAAAAGTTTCTCAACTTCTTTATCAAGAATTTTCGAGAGGATTTTAATAGACATTTCTATATTATGGGTAACCCCAAAACTTCACTCAGAACCCTGTGAGGAACCATACAACTCTTTACTTATAAAAAACCCAAAGGCTTCAAAAGAGTACTCGTCTCAGGACCGTTATGCAAGCAATTCCTATAGGAATCTCCTAAAAGCAAAAAGTTGTCCAGATAAACCACTGAAAAAGTTCAGTAGTTCTAAGGTGGGAACCAACTGGATAAATCTCCGTTAAATGAAAATATCAAAATTAACGAAATCTAGGCACCGTCTCTGAAAAATTATTCCAGATAAATTGCCCGGAACAACTGCTCACTCGGCTAATAGCTCCCAATTTTAAAAGGTCAGCTAAGGCTTTTTGTAAGTTAATCAACGCTGTCTGTGACCAAGTCAGTTCCCATTTTACAAGAACTGTTGTAGATACTTTTAAGAAAGGAATATATATTCCCTTTATCCACGACAAAACAGTACTAGTCTTAGTAATACTAAGCCAAGAAGAGTAAACATTTTTCAATCTTCCAGCCAAACGACTTACAGGTAATGCTGTCTCAGATGCTTTTTTGCAGGTCTCCTCTGTTGCACCTGCAATCATTTGCTATAGATTTCTCCCCTCCAGCAGGAATGCTGGTCGCGCATTGTAAATGGGTAGAGGCCGTCGATGGAAAGGTTGACGGTCCCGCTGAACTCAAGGGAACAGAGATTGACCCCTGGCGTTTTTTGCTGCCCGAGAATCAACTGGAGCTTTTGGCTTAGCAAGCCTCAATTCTCGGCCCACTCTCTCCAAATTTTTGGATGCTCTCCATCTCTCGTTCAGATTCATTCCGAACAGCTAATCAGCCACACATTATGCGGCTTGTTCATAAACTCGTTACTGAATCCTAGGACAAGTAACTCTTTCCTCGTGGAAGAATACAATCAAAAAATGCGACCAATAGTTTGCCTGCATCGCTGAGGGATTGCACCCCCTAGGTATACGTTGGTCTCCCTACCCTGCTGCGCAAGGAAAACGCCCTTCCAAATGCAGAAATGCTGCAACACAATTGCGTCTGAAAATCAAGCAAGCGGTTGTCTCGGTTCTTTGACGCTACATTAATAGCTGCACGAGAAAAGGGGCGGTCTATAGCTTGTCTGCATGGCTGAGGGATTTCACAACCTGAAGGTTGGTCTCCCTGTCCTCCCGCAACAGCAAGGAAAATCGCCTTCCCAATTGCAGAAATGCTGCAACATAATTGCTTCTGAAAACTAAGCAAGCAGTTGTCTCGGTTCCTTGACGCTGCATTAATAGCTGTCGCCACTTCCAAGCTTAGCTTTGGGGCCTCTAACAATTTGCAGTGGGTCAGAGGAGGGTAACGGAGCACACATTCCGTTCGAGTTCGAATATCTTCACTCAACCTCCGCTTTCATAATATTTATCCAATTTGCTTCTCCGTGTTAGCTCGATTACGATTTATTTTTATGATGGCTTTATATATATATAAAAAAACTAAATTGGCGTTCAACCGATTCCTATACGGCGACCTCAGAGGATCTGTCCCTTTCCGGCAATTTCCGAACACACATGGTTAAGTTTACCCTCTGCGGCCAATACAAAGAAATGTAACGCTAAGAGTCACATCTTAATTAATTTACGCCCAACTTCTTTGACGAGATTTCGCTGCTGTCCCACAAAGCAGCTGGTCGAATTTAAAATTCTAACATCCGTAACGCCAATAATAATTTTCACACGTCTTT